TGGTGACAGAACTTTTTTATACACATATAAAACTATCCAATAGTTAATATTTTTATGTGAAAGTATAAATGTGTGCCTGAGGACAAGAGGTGCAATGCAGTATTATTCAGGTTACTATATAATTTAGCTTAGTAGCATCTAGTTATTAGTGATTATATATTGGTGAAATGCAGTGTTGTAAAGTAGCCTCGATTAAGCTGATTTTAAGTCATTTTTTATTTTACTCCTAAGAAATGATCAGTACTTTTGACAAAATCGGCTTAAAATTATGTAAGCTCACATGAAATGGGGGGAAAAAATATTGTTTAACATGTTTTCAGTTATTGAAATGTAAATTTTTTTAATAAAATAAAATATGCAAGATAAAAAAGATTGAAAAAAAGTTTAAATAAGTTGATAAAAAATTAAAACAAAAAAAACTTTGCCTTGGCATCTAACTGAAAGAAGTTTAAGTGCAAAACTTAGTAATACTAAAGCTATAAAAATATCCACCAATATTAACATTTTGGCCAATACCTATAATTCTTTAAATTTGAATAGCCAATAACCTACATATTACCCGATAAATGTAATTCCAAGTTTTTCTAGATTTTTTTTAAAAGCCTGATTACAAAATAAAAGTCTCACAATTAAAAGCCATGTCCCAAGCACACAATTATAGTGTTGCACTGCACATGTTGCACTGTATTTTCCTTTTTAAAAGTGATTCCAATCATATTTTAAGCAATTCAAAACCATAATGGCAAACAGTGCACATCTGAAGTGTCTCAGCTGAAGGAAATAATTCATTATTTATTTGCTTTAATATAACGGCAAAATGTTCCTATTGGGCCGATAGTTAGTGAAAACATTTCAAATGAACATATATCGGCCGATATCGATATGGTGGCAGATATATCATGCATCTCTAACTTAAAAAAATAACTTAAAAATAAAAAATAAAGAATTAAATATAAAAGTAATACTATAATAGTATTTAAACAATACTAAAATAGCCATGGAATATTACTACTATGATAATATGTAATTTGCATATTGCCTTTCTAGAGCACCAAAATGGCTCAAATGTCTTTTGGACTTACTGCAAATTATGCATTTAAAAATGCATAACATAAAAAAACTGAAAAACTATTGAATGTGAAGCAGCAGTGATATATAAACAAAAAAATAATTAATCTGGGCCAAAGCTAATGTTTAAAAGTCAAAACAACTAGGGCGACTAAGGCTACGCTTACACTGTCAGTCCAAATCTTATTATTTGTGTATCCGATTGAAATCTGATTTAAAATAATTGACATCCTCATAGTGTATCGCAGATCAGATTTGCGTTCCCATGCCACTCTTTCGTTTTCCGAAATATCTGCATTGGTTTCAATGACAATGACGTTGCGTTGGTAGGCATACGCCACAAACAACAACAACCGCAACATTGGAGAGGTTTTCATTACAGATGTTGACTTATTTACAACATGGCAATGTTGACAACACAACCTTGTTTCTGCAGCAACTTTCAGCATGTTTTCTTTAACAACATGTGACATTTACATTTTACGTGGCGTAAGTCACATAAACCACTCGAAATCCAATCAGAGCATTGAGACTGAAACGGGTTTCCAGAAATGTGAATGTCAATTCAATGTAGCTCTAAACAAATTTGTTAGATCGCATTTCATGTGATTATTTTTTTTGCCGTTCACACTTAACAGACAAAAATCGGATATGGAGCGTAGCCTAAGAGCCAAGGAATCATAAAACACCTAAATGTCCCTGTTAATGCAATGATATAGTGCTGTAATGATTGAATGTGTCAGTGGAAATCCCAGTGTGGGATGTGATTCTACTTTAGAGTAGCTGGATGGTAATATAGTGATATAGTGCTGTAATGCCATGCTCATACTCTCATTGCACACACAGCGTTGGTGCGTTTGTCCCCTCTCAATGCCGTAGGGGTGCTGGAGTGGCCGTTCTGGACTAAGCTCATCGTGGTGGCGGTTGGCTTTTTTGGAGGACTCATCTTCATGTACATTCAGTGCAAAGTCTATCTGCAGCTCTGGAGGAAGCTAAAGGCTTTCAACAGGATCATCTTTGTACAGAACTGCCCTGAAACCGTCCGCAACGGAGAGAACAGGCCGCCCCCGGTCACCCAGAGCAACGGCACGCACGGGGCAGTGGAGGTTCCCGTACCTCAGACACAAACAAACACAGGAGATGCGGAGGTGACTCCTGTTTGATCACGGATGCTTGGTGCCCTGAAACATCGGAAAAGTCTAGTAAAGGGCTCCTCTAGGTGTATTTGACCAAAATTGATGTGATCCACATAAAATAACAAAAGCACTTTTTATTTCCCCTGTAGGTGGATAACAATAAAATTTCATAGATGTATATGAAATTAAAACATTAATTGTGTGCAATGATGTCATTTGTTATGACAAAGTGTAAAAAACATTATCGCATACAGTATAATCATATCATACCCCCAATTCATAATTACATAGTATAAGGGATTCCCCTACCATCTGAGCCGTTGAACAACCCTCATGATTTAGTCTGCAGTCATATGCCATTACAGGTTTTCAATTTTTTTTTTTTTTACAATTGCTAGGACACATTTCTCAATATTTTGGTCACTTTTTCAAAACTATTCGCAATTCTCCTAACCAACTTTCAGTTCGGCACACAGCAGTTCATTGGACGTTCATATTGCACTAAAACTACCAAACACTTCATACACGTCTCAATCAAGAAACTATTCGAACACACTTATGAGGTCACTCATAAAACAACAAACTAAAAAAAAAAAAGATTTATTTTGTAAAATTGTAAAATACAAGAATGACAGGTATCTACTACTTAACATTCTACTGTTTAACCCTAAAACCGTATTCTGGACAAATGTGTGCAAAATAGTTTATTTATTTAAAAAAAAAATACTTCCCTTGATCTGAGCGGTTCAAGACTTGGCTACTTTTCCTAAGTTTGCCTCTTGAACACACAATTTTTCTTGACTCAATTCTACAATGTTAAGTGGGGGAAAAAACCCCTCCTTAATCTTGTATTTGGGTCAAAAATGGGCACCCATAGAAATGAATGGGAAAAACTAATTTAGGGCATTCTAAAATAAGCCAAAATAAGACAGGTGACAGCAAAGTCACTTCATCTTAAGATTTTAGCTCTAAGAACTTATTGGAATGATATTTTAATGTAGTTAAAAAAATGTAAAAAATAAGCATAATTTACATTGAAAATATGGTACTCTTTGGAGGAAATAAATTCAAAAATACCCCCAAAATAAATAGAAACACCATAAATGGATAGACAAAACTTTATCGAAGTCAGTGATATAACATTTATAATAAATAAAAATTAGGATCACACCTGAGTCCTCTGTGCCCACATTTGTCCACAATTACAGGATTAAGGGCTATAAAGTGAATACAGTTTGAGGGCTACAAGCCTTTTGAAAAAGTGACTAAAGTATTGAGAAATGTGTCCAAAGCTGAATAAAAAGCCCTGTCCTATAACCTATAAACGATTGTTGGTTAGATTCAATAAAAACAAGGAATAATTTCTTTTAGTTGTACCCTGTTCTGAAGTGTTCTGATCAATCTTACCTCTAAATGTGTCAGAGAACCAGAAGTGAACAAGGCAGTTAAAGCAGTGATTATTCAAGTCAAGGCACCTGTCTTAAATCAATCCTCTTTAACTTTGGCTCTCACCTCAGTTGTCTTTCCTCCAGCTGTTGAATTATTGGATCAGGGAGTCAGCTTACAGAGGAATAGAGTTCAATTCAAGAACCTAAATGAACCAAAGATGTTACAAACAGAGATGCATTGATAAATAGCTTGTATTCTTTTATCGTTATCACATTTGCTTCGTTTTCAGTGATATGTGTAAAGACCAGTTGTAAATTGTTGACCGATTCTGTGACAAATGTGTATTTATTTTTTCTAGATGCATTTATTTTGTTTATAGTTAAGTTTTATAGTTTGTTTACAGTTGGCAAGGGAGGGACCATCCATTAATTTACCTAACAGTTTCCTTTGGATACATTTTTAATTATAGAAAGCAAATTGTACTTTTTTTAAATCTTCTAAAAAAGTTGAAAATTAAATGTATTTTACTGCAGTCAATTGAGCTTTCATAAGAATGCAGTGGAATCAAGCAATTCAGGGACAAGATGATACGACACATTCTTAGGTTACACATTAGTTCAAGGTTTATGCACTGTAAAAATGAATATGCTCTATCTGATCAATAGAATTGTGGCAACAGATTACAAACAATATTATTAATTAAATTTAACAAATTAGAATTGAGTTATAATTAATTAAATTATTCCTTAAAAATTAACCATTTTAAACTGAGTAAAGTTTACACCAAAAAATTTAAAAATTATCTCACTAACAGACAGACGTCAAAGATTAATTAAGAACTCTTTATTTTATATTGCCAACATTGAAGACACCTGATGATAACGAGCAGAATCACGGAAGGAGAAAACCGTAATTTTAAAACAAACACTGATCACCATAATGGTGACTTCAATTTATTTATTTTGGTTGTAAGTTTTACTCTTTTTAAATGGTTAACTTTTAAGGAATTAATTTGATTAATTATTACTCAATTCTAATTTCTTAAATTTAATTAATAATATTGCTTGTAATCTGTTGCCACAATTATTTTGATTAGATAAAGCATATTCATTTTTACAGTGTGGTCTCATTTAATACATCCAAGTAAGATTAAATAAACTATAGGATTAGGCTTAAGAACATGATTAGGTTTAGTTGCATGTAATTATTTAAAAAAATACTATATTTATTATTATAGTAAGTATGTGTAACAAAGACATCAAAAATAAAGCGTTACTCATTCTTGCTTTATCGGACTTGCCAAAAGAAAAAGTAATTGTGTGCAATTTTTACATGTTTTTCTGTCTAAAATAGCTCTATCTAAGATAAATGAATGGTTACTTAAGGAAACTAGGATTTGTTTTCCTCCATTTACTGAGCCACTGGATCTATATCAGTGCTTCCCAACCTCTCCTGCAGGGACCCCCTGACAGGCCATGTTTCTGTTTTAACCCTGAAATCACACAATTAATTATATGATTCAATCAATTAAAGGCTTAATGAGTAGTTGACTAATTCCTACTTCCTACTCTAACAACGACTCATTAAGCCTTTCTGATCTATATAGATTTTTTTTTTCTTTTTTTGTTAACTTTGTTCTTTTTAAAAACTTATGCAGCTTTTGAGGGGGAATGTGTTTTGAAGTGTATGGAGGAAAATCACGATAATTTATTTGCAAGAAAGAGATTTGTTAATATGCAGGTTTGGAGGTGATCATGTTTTGCTTAGAAAGAATAACAAATTTTACATTTTTGTATTTTGTGATTTTCTGGAGTGATGATCTTGATATATTAAAATAAAATAAAAATATGTTAAACACCCCCCAGGGGTCATGTCAGTATCAAGTGAGATTTAGTGATCAACATCAGTGTTCACAACTCAAATGCACATTATTAAAAGAAACATGCAAAAATGAGTCGGTGCAATAAACTAGTGAATGTATCAAACCGTTTCAAAATCTGTTTATTCATGTATTAATAGTATTGTGTTACTTGAGTAACTTCCTTCCTCGCAAGACATTTTTGCCAAAACACTATGGCTACTGTTAAAAAGCACTAGCAGCAAAAAACCTGCCCTTTCTGTCCTTGCACACAGCAAGTAGTCCATTACTCTACAGTAATCTGTACTGTAGTAGAGCTGCAGGATTCACAATACTGTGGAATTCAGAGATCCATCTTCCTCATTATCTTCCTCCATGTGTTTATCTTGTGAAACTGCAGACAATGTGCCGTCAGAGCGTTTGGCTGTAACCTTTCTCATCTTAATGTTGGGAAGTTTCTTGAGGTCACCGCTCCACTCTCTGTTAAACAAAGGTGGCTTAAAGTTAGACGAATTTGATACGGTTACAGTGTGGATGGGACTTTACATAGATAGCTTTGTGCCAGATATTCTTTAAATCTGATGATTTGCTATAAAAGTAAGTATTAAGTAATAATTACCTGAATATTTTCAGATGTTTAGAATTGATAATGTCAGGGATTTCTGTAAAGGGAAAAAAGACAGACAATTTTTAAACCACTAGACTAGAACATGATGTTGCCAAAGCAGGTTAATAAAGACTTTTTTTACGTTGCAAGAACAAGATGCACACAGGATGGAAATAAAAGTTAGTCACCATTAAATCAACATTCACAAATCTTACTTTATTATGGAATATTGCAGCATTTATTATAATTGATCAATGGAAAACTTTTTCTCCATGTTCCCTTTTAATTTTTAATCAAAATAACAGTCTCACTCTTGCGATATATTTCTTGAGTTAACATCCAACAATCCTATATTTTTTCTTGTTTGAAAATTAATTTCACTCGGATATTCCGAATTTACAAATGTAGGGTTGACTTTGAATAAACAAATAAAAGGTTTTTTTATGGACGGCTTGATGGACATTTTTGCTCTGAAGTACTGACCTTAGAAGAGCATTATTAACATGCTTTTTTTAAATGCAAGAAATGCAAGAATGCAAGAATTTGTAATGCAAGAAACCGTTTTATTCAAGCTGTTTTAACATTGCTCTCATACATGTCTTGTAAGGCAAGAAACAAAGATAAGAGACCTTCAGGAGAATGTAGAAAACTCACCAAAGCCACTGCCTTCATACTGAGCTCGCTCTCGCTCAACTGTTTGATTGATGATAGCTTCTCTAGATCCATGCTGACGACCCTGTCGTCCTTTAATACTGTTCGCCAACTCAATCTGCTCCAACTCTCCATCAAACCGATGAAGGTACCTGAGGAGGAGGATATCTTATATAAAATAAGATTATTCTCACTGTACAGCTAACATTTGGAAACCAAAAGTGCTGTTTATGAACGTGTCAAGTTATCACAGTATGTTTGTTTGGGAGTAGTTGTACCTCTCAATTATTTCACAAGCATCACGTTTGGTGTATTCTAACTTGTCAGGGTCCAGTTGGCTTTGGAACCACAAAAGTTTTTCACCTGTAGAAAATGAGTGAAGACATGAAAGCTTGTTCCTGCTGAAAACTGCTGAATTTGACCAAGAACAACTAAAGCACATTAGCACATTTGTTGAGGTTTGCTTAGTTGTTGTTGTAGGGTTAGAGTAAAACTGTAGCACTTTGCCCAAGATAAAGTTTACTTCGGGGACAAATAAAGTTTATCCTTATGCGAGCATCTAACGGTGCATTCACGGAACTTTGTCTAACGTTCTGACAAGGTTCTCTCAAAGTTATGAACAAACGTCCTTTCAGTGACGTTAATAAAACTTCCGTTCAAAGTTATCTGGTCTTTAATTATGTTCTCTGAACCTTAGCACAAACGGTATGTATACACAATTCACTGAATATTTAAAGGTAACGGTTATACAATGTTTGCAAAATAACGTTTTCTCTGATGTTCACATGACCAAGACGTTTTGAAAGTTCCTAGACCTAGAACTTATCAGAAATTTCAGAAGTAATGTTATCATAGAGGACGGGGTAACATCTTGGCATACTGACAATTGTTAAATGTCCTCAAAACAAGCGTTTAAATCCCTTGCTTACACACAGGCAGAACAAAAAAAGCCCAACGTTACTTACTTACCAATCAAATTTAGACGCTGTGCCTTCTCACCCTTTGACCTAGAAGTGGTTAAACAAATATTAAAGGTTTAACAGTATAAAAATTACCATGGCAATTCAAAAAAATATTTCCCTTTAAATGATATAACGTTACACGTACTTTTCTTTCCTATCTTGTTTGATAGCAGCTCTTGCCAGATATGCAGCTTTCCTGCTGTATGGGTGAATAGCCTTCTTCTCCACCTGTGGCTTACCTTTCGCTGCCTTCGGCTGAAATGAGAACACTAATTGTCAAATACACAATTCTAAAAAGTAGTTCTTATTTAAACAAAGGGTTTAACTAAAACCATACCATATTAACTGATGAATGTTTATCACACGTGTGACGTATGGGGGAAGATTTAAGGGACGGACCACTGAAACGGTTCGACAGTATTTTTTGTTCCGTGTATTACATAGATTTGTCATCAGTTCCGGTCAATATTGTATTTGTTGTTGTTGTTTTGCTATTTCTTTCTTTCATACTTGCAAAATTAATTTATGAGGGTGGAACTATGTAAAAAATATCAAAATGGTGTTAGTATAATATTCCCACTGTATGGCCGTCTTTTGCTATGGATGCCTGCTGTCAATAAAAACAGCTTTATAATCTACTCTTATCTTTCTATTTCACCTTTATCTTTTTTATTCCGTAATATTTCTTTATTATTTTTATTTAATTTCATTAGTTTTTATCGTTAAAGAGGTTACTTCCATACATTTTCAGAGAGAGAACTTATATATGTTCCATATACTATTGATATTATCCATTTAATTTAAACGGAATGCTATATTTTAATGGAAATAACAAATATATGTGAAATGACCAAAAAGAAAGCAAGAAAGAGAGGAAAACCCTTTAGGCACGTTCTGCACGTGCCGCCTGTGCACCATGTCCACTCAGCAGAGAGCGCGCGTGGGTTTTTGTGAGCCTTCTGTTCGGTGTCTCAGCTGAGCTGTTTCATATGTCACATGACTCCAGCATGATGGGGAAACGGGAATCCCAGAGTGTGCTGCGTTGTGTTTGTGAAAAATAGAGCGCGAGCATGCCGACGCTGCTGCAGAAGCTCTTCAGCAAGAGAGCCGTCGGTAACGGCAGCGCCCGGGATTGTTCGAGGGGAACGGAGCAATGGTAAGACATTAGCACGCAAATATACTAACACTGCTATATCAATACAGTACGTACGAGCCCCGGTCCCACCTGCACGCTCACTGTCAGCTGACCTCTCTGCGGCAGACAGCTGTTTCTTCTGCAATAAAGCGTAGAGGTTTGTGCAAATATGTACAAGTTGGGTCACCAATAATGTGCCATCCTTTCCAGGCCGTGTTGATCTATGTGTTAACGGTGTTGTGGACGGTGTCACACACGAGTTCTGCCGCGTAGCGCGCGTCCATATCAGCTGATCCCGAGTCCACGCGTTATGTAACTCGACTCCGGACTCCGGAGCATATTTGCTTGCACAATTCTTGCTAGTTAACGTCAAAATTTTGACGGTTTTGACACGTACATGGCTTCTGCAGTGTGTTGTTGGTTTTTCTAGTCAGAGTGGGTGGACATGGGTTTTATGGGTTGATGTTGAAATGTTTATTTGTATCCTTTACAATTAAATGGTCGTATTTTGCTTTTGATTCAAATGACTATTTTATTTTCCTTTTGCACTTTTAGTTATATAGGCCTGGCTACTACATTAAATATACCTTGTAGGAGCCATGCAATGGGAAAGTCATGTGACCTAATGGTAGAGAGTGTCATTAAAACACCTGTTGTGTGTGTGTGTGTGTGTGTGTGTTGTGTTCATAAAAACAAACAGAAATTTGTATTTATACTTTTATTTTTATAATTGTATAATTTATTAATTTATTTACACTTTTATTTTATTTCCACATTTATTTATTTATTCATATACATTTCTTTGTCCATACAGTAATGAGGATTTTTTTTAATTTTGAAAAAGAAATATTGTTATTAAAATAGTTATAATTCTCATTTTGTTTATTCAGTTCATGCTCATTTTTATTTTTATGAGTAGGAGGAATTATGATCAAAAATAGTCATTTGCTAACTTAAGCACAAACAAGCAGGCACAACAAACCTTGTGTTGTTTATAATTTTTGTTTAAATTTATTTTAAAAATCGCATTTTTTGCAATTTTAACCAAAAAAGGCGCAATTAGACGTTTTCCCCAAATTGTTTAACGTGAAACTTTGTCCATTGCGTTTATAATCTAGACTCGTCTGCTTGTCTGTACATTCTTTACATTTTGTACATTTAGTAATGTCTCTTTAATTCTAGTAAGTTGTACTGACTTTTATGTTTTAATATCACTGATTTAATGCATTAAGCCAAGTTAACAGTTTTCTATAAAGGGGAAATGCTTAATGTGCATCGCTTTCATATGCATGTTCTTCTGCTTGTCTGTATGCTTTATTAATAAGATGTATACTGAATTTGGTCCTCCTATAATATCACTGTCTTAGTACATTCAGCCACATGAGGATAAACCTAATAATCTACAAAATAGTTTTTAGATCACATGCCAACTGCAGTTTTATTGGCTATGAATAAAGCAATCACTAATTTGTTATTGACAGGCAAAAAGGTAGATTTTTTTTATCTTTGGCTGTAAGCGAATTCTTGAAAATGAATTGTGAAAATGCGGTTGCCATGTTGCAGTACGGAGGACAGTTGACAAATCAGATGGAAGAAGCGTGCAAAAATGTTTCAAACCACTCGGCACACACCTCTTGCATTTAATTTGGTCACACCACAAGGTGTCACTGTGGCCTCAAAGCTGTGCTCTTGCCACTCTGAGGTCAATTGTTATGTCTGAGGTAACCGAAGTCTGAGGCATAGACATTATATAGATCTAGGGTGTATCTAGTGGATGTAGTCTGAGGTATAAGTATAAATACACATTTTTTTATTTATTTTTTACATTTGTATATTTATTTATTTATTTATTTTTATTGTATTTATTAATTCACCAGCATTCCATTGATACCCACTGATAATATATAAAAGTGTTAATTTGAAGGTCTAAAACAACAGATATAGGAACTGTGAAGAAATCTCCCACTAACGCAATCACCTTCCATTTACTTTCACAGCCACTGCTCAAGATTTGCCTATTTGCTGAAATGATTTTGGTAATAAGCACTGGATTAACCAAAATTCATATATATATATATATAATTTGACAGTGAAATAATAGTTTTTGCAGAGTAACATTTTGTTTACATAAAGCAGTGAGCTGAGAAATGTGTTAAATTAGATTTTTCTTTAAAAGTTTTTTCATTAGAAACATAAATATAATTTTATCCCGACAGGTCTAAAATACCATAGTGAATCAGGATAAGAAATTAAGGAATGATGATTCCTCATTATTTAAATTTTGTTAATTTTGAACCCCCAAAATACTTTGTAGACTACCTTTACTTTAATGTTTTTGTTCTTGTTGTCTTTTGACATTCTTAAAAGTGAGTTTTATTTATATATTTAAATTTAGCTTTAAATTCTTTTTAGTTTTTTTTGCTTTTGTAATTTTAGTACTTCAGCTTATTTCAGTTAGTTCCTAAATGTTTTTTATCTAAGATTTCTACTTTTTTTATTTTAGCTTCGTGTCAATAATTTTATTAATAAATACAACAGTTCACTAGTGTCGTTGATGCAGCATAGTGCAAAAGTTTTTAATAACTGATGCCATTGTAGAAATGCACTGTATGCAGTCAGTCGGTTTATTCAGAGATTGAAAGTATCTCCATAATGCTCTAATATTGGATAAAGTAATATTCTGCTGGTCATGTGATTTCAAAATGTCTGCCCCAATGAGGAAACCCACTCCATGTAAAAAGAAAAAAAAAATGTTTAAAATGTGTGGAAAAATTCCATAGTGAATCCATACTTTTTAAAAAAATGTTCACTCTTTGTGTGGGGGTAAAGCATATGACTGACCGAATATGTGTTGCAACATGCATTCTTAGTGTAAGAAAAGGGTACATGTTAGTTTGTTTGCTGAGGTTTGCAACTTTAGCCAGTGAGAGTGTCCTGTGACTGTTTGGATCACATGCGTTGTGAGTGTGTGTATGACAGTCATGTGACGTTAGAGCTGTATTCAGTTTGTCATCAGATAGATAAAGGGTAGAAACCTCTCAGTCTTTGAACACATGCCACCCAAAAACATCTTTCTCTCTTTTATTTCTCTCCATCTGAATCTTCCCATTTTTCTAAGTCATCTTCTTTTAATTTCATAAATGCTGTTTGATTTGGAGAACTTCTAGATAAAGTAAGAACACATTTTTTTAGGAGAATCAGATGAGTGTACGCATGCCTGTATGCGCACACACACTCTCTCTCTGTAGTGAATCGAGTGGAATACTTTGAAGATGAAGATTAAGAGTCTCAAGAAAACCACCGCAAGGTGGTCGTTCATTCCAGAGGATGCTTCACGGAACAGGTACACCAAGTGTGTGTGTGTGTGTGTGTGTGTGCTTTTTCGGCCACTACAAAATTGTTGTAACATCTTTGTTTGCGCATGAGTGGAATCTGATCCAAATCTTTTAGTTTTTACTTTCGGTCGACACCAAGCCAGTATGTGCTTGCATCTGCATGAATGAAACATGTATTCTTAAGGCATTGTTACACAGCCAGTTGTTTTGAGCAGACTCTGTGGCTTCTCAACTTCTATGTTAAAAATAATCCAACACACAACATGTAAAATATGCATCTTTGACCCACCCCTAATATCAGAGTCTATTTGATGCTGCTTTGCTTCTGTCTAAATGAAATGCAGCTTCAGAGCAGCCTTAAATTGAGTACATATTATCATTTAAATTATTTGCAATCTAATGCATACATATTTTTTATTTAAAATGTATGAATAATATAGATTAAATATTTAGATTTTCATATCCATTTTCATGTTTATATATTGTAATTTGTAGTTACAGTGATATGAATAAGTTTGGACACCCATGCTAAATTTGCCTAAAAAGAGGAATAAAAAATCATCTTTTGGATATTGATCTTAATGCCTTAATTAGAAAAATGAGGAAAACTCCAACCTTTAAGGACACAAGTTTTCTTTGTGAATGAATAATGTATCATAAATAAATAAATGTTTTTCCATAAGTCAGGACACCCCTATGTTAAATTCCCATAGAGTCAGGCAGAATTTTATTTTTAAAAGCCAGTTATTTCATGGATCCAGGATAATATGCATCCTGATAAACTTCCCTTGGCCTTTGGAATTAAAATATCCCCACATCATCACACACCATTCACCATGCCTTGAGATTGGCATGGTTTTACTTCAGTTAGCCTAATAGCTGGTTTGATTTGCATTGAAAGATGATCTTATGGAAAGTACACCATGCCAATCTCTAGGTGTGGTGGAAGGTGTGTGATGATGTGGGGCTATTTTAATTCCAAAGGCCAAGGGAACTTTATCAGGATGCATATTATCCTGGATCCATGAAATAACTGGCTTTTAAAAATAAAAATCTGCCTGACTCTATGGGAATTTAACATAGGGGGGCAATGACTTATGCACCCTGTATTTTAAGGAAAAACATTTATTTATTTATGATGCATTATTCATTCACGAAGAAAATTTGTCTCCTTAAAGGTTGGAATTTTCCTCATTTATCTAATTAAGGCATTAAGATCAATATCCAAAAGATGATTTTTTTTATTCCTCTTTTTAGGCAACTTTAGCATGGGTGTCCAAACTTATTCACATCACTGTATATCTAGATTCATATTTCACATAAAATATTAATTTAATGAACATCTTTTTGAACTGTAATATCTTGCTGCTATTCTCTTACTGCTGCTGAAGTTGCTTGATGTGTGACCTTTGCTTTGAGTGCATGAGGCTTGTTGGACTTTTTTTGGGTAGCAATATAAAAATGGTAAATATATAATGTGAATACTAGACTGTTAGTGCTAAGTGAAAGCATTATCAAATTTGTCAAACTATTGAATCAACAATGTTCCACTTCAGCTTTCTACACGCAGCAGATTTAATCTGAAATTGTTCTAGTTGTCAATCAGTGAGATCTCAGTGTGTGTGTTTGCAGTGATCATGTGGCACAGCTAGCGGTTGCTTATCATGTGATCTGAAGTATCAGGAAAATCCCACAAAGGATGTGTCGAGATGTGTTTTTGCTTCTTAAAAGTGAATCACTGTCAGTAGAGTTAGTGTGTGTGTGGGGGGGTTAGCTACAGCTACACTTGAAGGCCAAATGGTTGAAATTGTCCTCACGACATTTGAATATATCATAAATAATTTTTGCTTTAAATCTAATAATGTAAACAGGTTTCTGTGAGTGTTTAGTATGTTATTATCTTAGTATGAAAACCATTTTATCTATGAGTCGTATTGCTAATATAACTTCTAGGGTCTGTGTGTGTGTTTGTGTGAATGTGCAGTGGCAGTACCACCCCAAGCAAGTGTTTTTCTCTCCCTCCTTCCTTCTGTCTCTCTCTTATATACTGGCACACACACTCAGGCAAAGTCTTAGTAGGAGAGGATAAAGAGAGCCTGTGCCCTCCGTGTGTGTGAGGGATAAAGGGGGCCTGTGCATAGCAGTGTATTGTTCAGCAGCTGGGTTAGAAAGGACGGAGCAACGTATCTTCTAACACACACATGCACACTCACATGAACACTAAGCAGTCCATATACAAAGTCTGTAAGCTCAACGCAAACAGACACATTGTGATTGCCAACTTACACATGGACACTGATATAACAAACATCATCACTGCATCATCTACACAACCAGAGAGAAGGGGCGCTGCCGACACCATGCGTGCGTGTGTGTGTGTGTGTGTGTGTGTGTGTGTGTGGTTTCGTGTGACTTGTGCACTCAGAGCCCGGACAAGCGGAGATGGAGACGGTGTGCCTGTGTTTTCCGTTGTTAGACTGTGGTGATCTTTTGATGTTTAATAGAAGAAACATGCAACTGTGTGAATGGTCCATTTTCCGTGCCTTCAGCTGCTCTCTTGGCCAGTTTCGGGCTTATTGTGGTGGTTATTCATATCTATTTTGGATGTATATGTAGTGCTTAGAGGCTGGAAATGAGTGATTGATCACTTATACACCAGAATGGAAAGCAGGTAGGATGTTTGTATTTGTGTAAAGAAAATGTATTTTTGGTCGTTTAGGTATGGTGCAATGAAATGCTTTATTGAACGTTCTTGTAGTAGTTTTATGGTTTAAATGACAGGAATAGTTCACCCAAAAATTTAAGTTGTACTATTTACTTCCAAAACAAGAGATTTTGAAGAATGTTCACGCTTCTCTTTTCCCATGTGAATTCAGGGAATGATTCAGTGAACATGGATCGATATAGCACTATACAAGTAGACTGATTTGGTATATTCCAAGTTTTATGAAGCCATATAGCTTTGTGTGAGGACAAAAACTAAATGTACACTACACTACCATTCAAAGGTTTGGGGTCAGTGCAATGTTTAAATAGAAATGAATACTTTGCTTTATCAAGGATGCATTAAATTGATTAAAAGTGACGGTAAAAAAAATGTAATATTGTTACAAAAAACAATTTCAAATAAATGCTGTTGAACTTTCTATTAATCAAAGAATCCCCCAAAAATTATCACTGTTTCCACAAACATAACAGCCAGTAAAAACTGTTTTCAACATGGATAATGAGAAGAAATGTTTCATGAGCGTCAAATCAGAATATTAGGATGATTTCTGAAGGGTCATGTGACACTGAAGACTAGAGTAATGATGCTGAAAATTCAGTATTGCATCACAGCAATGAATTACATATATATATATATATATATATATATATATATATATATATATATATATATATATATATATATATATATTACAAAAAGAATATAATTTTTACATAATTTTACTGTATTTTTTAATCAAATAAATTCACCCTTGTAAGCATTTCGAGACTTATTACAAAAACAATACATCTTAACAACCCCAGGCTTTTAAACATTATTGTTGTAAGTTGTTATTCACTTAAAATTGAATATAAAATATAAATTTCAATTTTCAATAAAATTGAAATAGTTTGAATAACTATTTCCAGTTTAATATTTCCAGTTATTTGTCAAAGAATTGACATTGATGTGTGTGTGTGTGTGTGTGTGTGTATATATATATATATATATATATATATATATATATATATGTAACTTCAGTAAGTCTTTTTTTCTGTTTTTGAATGTTTTGACCACACTTCTGTTTCTCTTTTTTTTAGTTGGGCATCTGCAGAGTTTGATCTAGCTCAAATCAGGTTAATAGTGTATCAAGACTGTGAGAGAAGAGGAAGGCAGGTTCTCTTTGACTCCAAAGCAATACACAAACTGGACGCATCCGAGCCGGTAAGTTGCTAATGTGGTGTGTGTATGTGTGGGGGTGTCCATGAGCACTGTTTTGGGAGGAGTCACATGCTCTGTAATCCAGCTTGCTTGGATCTCATGACAGGTGTGACTGCTTGGCTAACTGGGTCAAAGTGTTGCTTTTGAGAGCGAGTGTGTGGGTTGGATCTTGGGTTGGATTGGTATTGCTATTTATGACTTTTGATTTTAAGTTTTGGTATAATTTTGCGGGGATTTTCACATCAAGGATGTGTTAACGGTTTCATGTCATGATAATTCAGACCTTTCATTATCTTTAAAAGTAAAATATAATGTCTGTGTATATTCAGTTTTCGTAAACTTGGCCATCTAGTCATCATCAGATAAAAGAAGGACATAGAAGAGGTGCTGTTCGTAAAAAGAAAAGAAAAAAAGAACCATACCATAAGAATAAAATATATATATTTGTAATGGTTCTTGACTGTGTTCATGTCCTTCTGAAGGATCCCAAACTTTTTCTTAATGATTTATTTTAATTTTATGATACACTCATAAAAAGAGGGAAAGAAACAGAAATTTTAAAAAAGCAAAATTTATTTAAAAAAGGCAAAAGGTAAGTAGCCTAATACTGAAAATAATTAATAATTATACTCAATACATGAAAGTAAAACATTGTCCCTAAACACATCGGTCTTAGTCTGACCTTAACAGTTTGTGCAGTGCCTTTCTGCAAAGATTGATTTAGAATAGTGTTACAATGTAATTTGCAAAAAGGCTATTAAGGAAGGAAAATATTTTTTAATTCACATGCAAAGAAAATTTGTCAGAAAAGATCACATTTTAGGAAAAAGGAAAAAACCCTAGACCTTAATTATTTACTGCAAAAGTTTAAAGTGATGATGTGTAAACTGATTTTTCATCACAAAATGCATACTTTATTTTCATTGGTGTAATATTGAGTTGAATTCTCCTATTGCTTATACATAGTCTTAAATCAAAGCTGTATTTTTCATGTCAACACATGTATACTCATGCATCTAGACAGTTGCTATTGAATGTCTCTGACTCTCTCTGAACAGACAGAGTGTGATTTATTGTCAGTAAGTTGTCACATGATTGGTCTGTTTATTCAGCTCTTCAGCTTTTGTCACAAGGAGAGAGAGACAGAATAACAGTGTGTGTGCGAGTGTATTGCCATAGAATTGTGTCTCATGGTGGAATATTGCACTGGCAGATTTCCATATCATCGATTTCCTTGTTTCCTTGCACAACATCATTTATCATAGATTTTCTAGTAGAGCTGCACAATTCTGGATAAATGGAGATTTTTAATAGAGATCACTTTCTCCCAAGATTTTGAATAGACAACTAAACAATATAATGTAATTTACGAGAGGTTCTAACTAAATGTTAATTGCTGCAGTCTATTCCAAAAATATATCATTAATTTGAATTCATTTTTTTAATCGGTTTAAATGAATGATTCAATGACTCACTCATAAGACTTCACTTGTTTCACTTCTGGTGAATAGGGCTGCACTTTAGTGTAATTATTGAATATCGCAAATGTCGAAATATTACCTTTCAAGCAATGTGTAGTGTGTCTGTGTAAATAATGTAATTTTTTTTCTGCAAAGTCGTGCAGCCAAAAGTGCATAATACATTACGTTATTGCCTCTCATATGAAACAATCGACTCTGAACAACCATGAACAACATCTACAATGTGCAATGTATATTATGAGAAAATTATAGCATTTTTTTACTTTTGACACATGTAAACTGTTGTAGGAGGCCTCCAAAACAAAATTAGGTTGTGGGAAAAAAATTACTTTTTACATATGATTTGACAGTTTATTTTATTACATTTAAAAAATCAACAAGGTGCACATCATACCTGTCACCCACACCGGTAACACTTTATTTGAAGGGGTGTGCATAAGACTGACATGACACTGTCATAAACATGACGTAACACCCGTCATGAACATGAAGGAGTCTTTATGAATGTTTATGACTGTTGTCATTAAGTGTCATTCTGTAAATTATGACACTTTTAATCCAAAGTTGACATTGTTTAAAATGTCTTTGTTATGACAACTTGACATTAACAAAGACAGAAATGAAAGAAAACATAACCTGTCAACCTGACATCTTTATAACTAGTCCAACGTGTTCCACTTTACTTGAGCTAAGGGAAAATATTAATGACACTGTTGTTAAAGCATTTGACCGTGTAATAACCCTTAATGACATCTTTATAACTAGTGTTCCACTTTACTTGAGGACAAGTAAAATATTCATGTCACAGTTATAATGGTGTCAGGACAACCAAAGTTAAAACCAACCATATGACAGGGTAATGTTAACACAAAGCTAAATAACTTCTTTAAGTTTGATAATTAGACCTGTTATGACATATTTGTGACAGGTTATGATTTCTTTTTTTTGTCAAGTTGTCATAACAAAGACATTTTAAAACAATGTCAACTTTGCATTAAAAGTGTCATAATTTACCGAATGACACATAATGACAACAGTCATAAACATTCATAAAGACTCCTTCATGTTCATAACAGGTGCTATGTCATGTTTATGACAGTTTCATGTCAGTCTTATGCACACCCCTTCAAATAAAGTGTTACCGAAACGGTTATACCAATGTCGTATGCAACTTTAGAGACGGTCCCTAAATTTGCGAATCTCGAACGTCCAATGTCAAGCCAACTTTTATGTCAGTATTTCCCTGGGAAACGCTTAGCATGAAACTTGCATTCAGATTCTGAGTCTATCTGCTTGCCTGTTTAGTCTATATAGTATAGCCTACATCCCCAATAAGGTGCGAGATTCATTACTCTATTCTTCGAGAAATAGAAAGTTTTCTTTTCTGGTGATAAGATTTATAAATGGATTGTTTAGCAACAATGTTTTACTGTTTACTTTTACTGTCACTTTTAATCAATTTAATGCATCCTTGCTGAACAAAAGTATTAATCTCTCTAAAAAAAAAAAAAAAAAGCAAATATCCCCTTGATTCTGTGATGTCCTTAAAGACTGAGACACAGTGTGATGTGGCCGATTGTTTCGTACATCTTACAGACTGCTGATGGAAACAAAACTCCCCCCAATCGGAGTGATGCTTGCCATATCGGAGGCCAAGGAAATGAGAAAGACAAGCCTCCTACATATCAGGTTTGTGCAGAAAAATATTTATGCTCAGGCATTAAGTCCATTAGTCAAAATTCCAACATAAACTGTGTTTATGGCTACATAGATTACACTATCACATTTGACTTATGTATGTATGTATGTTCACTCAGTATACCAGACCAGCTTCGGACGTGAATATGCTTGGAGAGATGATGTTTGGCTCAGTTTCCATGAGCTATAAGGGTTCAACTCTTAAAATTCACCACATTCGGTGAGTATTTTATGTAAATGTCATATATTTCACAGGAATTAGGGTCTTAGTGGTGTGTATGCGATAACACTGTAATATTGTGTATGTGACAGGTCTCCACCACAGCTGATGGTCAGTAAGGTTTTTTCTACCCGGTTTGGAAGCAGCACCTCTGGAAGTACAAATACGTACGTCTCTTTTCTCTCACCTGTAATCTGCTGCTACAAGACTCTGTTCTCGAACACTCATTGTCTCTTTATTTTTTGAAGGCTGCAAGACAGTTTTGAGTCAATGAGCCAAACTTTTCACACCAGCAGCATAGGTAAGATAAGTACAAACATTTCTTTGTTTGTTAATTTGTCACGATCTGTTCCAAAACCTAGTGAGCTACCGAGTGCCTACGTAGGCAGCAATTTATAGGTTCACTCTTGTCACAAAGGCAATTCCAAAAGGTAGGTATCTTATTTATGCTGTTTCCCGAGTTTTAAAGCAGCATTCCATGTACCTTTCACAAAGAACAGTCCCAGAATACATTGCAGCAAAAAAAAAAAAACAACAACCAGGATGACAGATGAAAGAGAAATGTTGACATCGTATCATTTTATTTGATTCAGTTCTGAAAAATAATTATTGAAAATATCTATAAAGGGTTAGTTCACCCAAAAATTAAAATTATGTCATTAATGACTCACCCTCATGATGTTCCAAGCCTGTAAACCTGAAACAAAATTTAAGATTTTTAAGATTAAATCCGAGAGCTTTCTGTCCGTCCATTAATGTATGTACAATATACTGTCCTTGTCCAGAAAGGAAATAAAGTAGTCCATCAAAGTAGTCCATGTGACATCAGTGGGTTAGTTAGAATGTTTTGAAGCACCGAAAATACATTTTGGTCCAAAAATAACAAAAACTACGACTTTATTCAGCATTTATTCTTCTGGTTCTGTTGTCGAGCCGCGTTCTAATTATATATATATACTGTATATACACACGTACAGAATATGAAGAGTTCAGATGCAAAAGCCTCTAAATGCCATTTGAAATTTTCTTCTTTAATGATGATTTTTATCAAACTTGTATATTTAAGTTCAGTAATTTCACTTAAATAACAATTAATAGGTAATTATCATTGCCATTTAAGTGAAATCATTGAACTTAAATATACAAGCTTGATAAAAATGATCATTCTAGAAGAAAATTTCAAATGGCACTTAGAGGCTTTTGCATCTGAACTCTTCATATATATATATAGAGCCTCATGGGTAATATCGTTTTTAACCATGAATTCAGCTCTTAATCATGATTATTGAAATAATGTGAATGGCTTCAACAAAAGCATATACCCGTACATATACATGTACAATAGGTCTGTTTAATGGTTTATAAATGGTTAAAAATCAATTTCCCTATGGAGAAAATAAAAGTTTTTACTTCCTGAACACTATTTCTATTTCTTTTTTTTCTTTTTTTTTTTTTACAGGGTTCATCTTTTTTTATTTATTTTTTTTATTTTTATTTTTATTTAACAGTCAGACATACATACAAACAAACCATCATAGTGCAGTAGTGAGCAATCTTGTAAATCCATAATTCCACTATTTCTATTTCATTGGGGATGTTAAGATCAGCTGTATACCGGTATGTAGACAGCATGGCAGCTCATGGTTTCGGAACAGCAATTTCATCTGTTTATTTTCTTAACTCTTCCTCTGATTTTCACCCAAACATACCGTTTCTCAACATGGCCATATGCCACTCTTTTTAGGAGTTTGCCGTGTACCTAGCGCTCCTCTGCTCCGCCTGGCTCGGAGCGCATCTTTCTTTGCAGGTTTGTGTGGAATGCTGAAGCAGCGTGAGCATGTGTTGATCTCACATGCACAAACACTTTAGCCATGTTTAATTTTCTACTGTATGTCCTCTCTGACTATTTATCTTTTGATTGATTTTGGCCCCTCACATAATGCACTTCCTCTGACTTTGAACCTGTGTGACACCTGGTATTAACATATTTGGGTGATACAATCACAACAGTGGAGACAGAATGCTATTTACACCTGACGATGATAATAATATACATCTCATATAACCATAATGTGGTTTGTGATCGGCTCTCAAATATTTTTCACTGTTTACATCTCTATACAGCTGTACACTTTTGATTGGATCACTGAAATAGATGTAAATACCAAGTGTGAACAGAGTTATTGTGGGTCAGCAATGTTGTTACAAATAAGACTGCAAGGTTTCTAGATTACAGACTTTATCTTCACACTTTCAGATCGGGTTCAGAATCAGATCGTGTGTGTGTGTGTGTGTGCGCAAGGGGGAGTCTAACATGCATGCTCTTTTGAAAAGTGCTTGGGAACCCAAAACCTCCACCAAATCACCCACAATTTGAAGCAATGCGGACACGCTTTACATTCTCGCTGAATGTGTAATGACTCTCTTTTTCCAGCCCACAGTAATCCAGTGGACATGCCTAGCAGAGGACACAGTGAGGATGGAGACAGTGGCATTGCTCGATCAGGTATGCACACATTTATGAAGTCAGAACATCATTAATGCATTCTTGAATTGACCAAAGCATTGATACTGTATCATACCAGTTATCGGCCGATGTTATATGTAGACATGTATATCTTTTTATATATTCTTGTCAGTTGATAGTGGATATTTAATGGTGATTATATTTTAAGATTTTTTTTAATGATATTAATATGATGTTGTGAATTATTTAATAAACAAGAATTACAAATTCTAGTTAAGTTAAATGTAATCCTTACCCAGTTTAAAAATGAATATACTTTACATTATAATGTTGTGCTGTCTACATTTGTGTGTAGCATTTAAAATGTTAGCACAAATAGTTAATATTTGCCATTTATCAAAATCAAGTTGTGATCTCAGTTATCCGCCATGACATGAAATAAATTTCTGTGGCTTGAAAAAATTAAGTAATTTACATTTTATTTGCTAGCAGTAAAGTTGACATGAAACGGAAGTTGTGACTGTCTTTTAAACCTTTCTATCTTGTTTTAATTATGCATTTTCTTTCCATATTGTAACATACTGTATATCCGAGTTTGAATCGTTTGACGAGTTTAACGGCTTCTTAAACAAGAAAAAAAATTATGGTATACTGTATACTTAATTTTGTCACGAATTTATTGGATAGCTGTGATCTCATGTAAGTGACTGGTCATCCCTCCCTCACGTCAGTAAACACGTCATCAGAAAAGAGAAGAGATGTCGCTGCTAAAGGGAGGGAAGGTTATTTTAATTATAGGTTATGAGGGAATTAAAAATAAATAATGATGTACACTGATGGTCCGTGTATCTTTTTGGTCATTTGATTTCCTGTTTGGAATCGAATAACAAGAAATGAAAACCAGCTTGTTTTCTGTTTAGTTTAAAAAACGAAAAATTGGATTGGATTCATCTGAGGTTTACTAATCGGTTTATGAGTTCGATATTTCATTTGCACACATGGGCGGCGCTGAAATGCCCCTTTCATCTGATTGGTCAAACCCTTAAGTGCAAGCTTTTCTTTCTGTCAGGAGTGCAGTACTGACAAATGCACTTTAATAAAATAATGTCTGAAACAACCACTCACTGTTAACTACGAACAATATTTGAAGCCGAAATATGTTGCTGGTCACGTAACTCGTGCTGCTGCGACTTGCAAGCTACCCCATTAATGTGAACCACAGTTGGCCTACATATGACAGATTATTTTAGCATGATGTATTTCCCATTGATAAATACAGTGCAAATAGTTCCGTCTCTTTGGATAAAAGGGAAGTGTAAATAAAAAGAGACTGAACATTACCATGATAAAATATGTCCGTAACATTAGATGTTCGTATATGACCTACCCACAACAGTTACATTAGTTAGACCGATATTAGACAGATGAAAACTTGACCGATATTTGTCTTACTTGCTGATTTACAGACGAATGTAATAATATAAACATCCCTTTTTGCAGCATCTCTAAGCAGTTTGTTGGCCACTCCCCTCCCCTCACCTGGCTCCTCCTTCAGCAGTGGCTGTGCCAGCAGTTACCAGAGGCGATGGCTCCGTAGCCAGGCCACCAGTCTTCAACATGGCCCCATGCCTCGCTGGTAAGTGTGAATCAATTTATGTGCCACAAGTGAGATATCAGAAGTGACAGTGGGCAGATAAGTTGGATGTATTTGTGTATGTCTGTTCATCAGGAGCACTGAAGAAATGTTCAACCTGTCTGACGAGAGCTGCAGCTCCAACCCCGCGGTGATCCGGAGGAAGAAGATTGCCATCAGCATCATTATAAGCCTGCCAGAGAGAGAGGAGGAAAACCACAATTTTCAGGAGTTTTTCTTCTCCCACTTTCCTCTGTTTGAGTCTCACATGAACAAACTCAAGACTGCCATCGAGAGGGTAAGTGTGATAGCGCAGGCAAGTTATTTGTTGTCATAGTAACTAATTTTAGACATATGTTAATGATAAGATATGATCATAAACAGTTATTATCAGATTATTATATATTATTTAAAATGTCTTTTTAAATTCTTTTTTTTTTTTTGAAAAACATTATAGAAACAGCAAACAGGGCAAAAGGCCAAATAATCTTACTGGTCAAAGAAAACAACCAACACGGCTAATACTGTTTTATTATGCCAGTTTATACAGTTTTGATGGGTGGGTCAGAATGTTGCTTTAAAATTGAGATCCATTGAGAATATATTATGAATAGGATTGTGAATAAAAATTTAACCGCAAGATGCCTAATTTTATTGCTTACCGATATTTATTTAATCAAAAATAAATAAATAAATAAATAAGTAAATAAATAATATTGTGAAATATTTTTACTATTTAAAATAAATGTTATATTGAAATGCAATTCCTCCGCTTTGGTCAAGCTGTAGGCTTTTCAGCAGGCATTACTTCAGTATTGCAGTGGAGAAAAAACTTTAATATTTATTTGAAATAGAATTTTTTTTAAAGGGATCCAACTATGCTTCACTTTTTCAACTTTAATTAGTGTGTAATGTTGCTGTTTGAGCATAAACATGATCTGCAAGATTACAAAGCTGAAAGTCCACTACAAAGGGAGATATTTAAATCCAAGACTTATTTTTTCCAGATTCATCCTTGCTGTTAAAAGTATATACAGTATATACATGTATATATTTTTTAAATCTTGTATATACTGTAGTATTTCTATTTGTTTAATATTTAAACTTTACCTCAAAGTTTAAACTGTGTGTGATTGTTTTTCAGGCAATGATTCTGTGCAGAAGGATAGCTGAGTCCAGTCAGCGAGTGCAGGTCTATCTGTGTCGAGTGATGGAAGCACTGGGAGAATTCAGGTGAAAGTGAGAGGGATGTGGTGCACTGCTGATATCATCACACTTCTTACAGTATATTTTTGGCATTAAATTCTTCATGTACAGTTCATGTACAATGTACTATTTTTGTAACAGTGAATAAAATGACTCAATTAATTCAGCAAGGCCATGATCATAGCACTGAAATTAAATATTTACAGTAATGTTTTTATGTATTTTCAAACGCCTTGTGTTTGGCTCTAAAATTTCAGAACAAATATGAATCTTCATGCCAACTTAGTGCAGAGGATATTGTTACAGAAGCCCTCAAGTCAATTTCAACATTGATTTGGGTTAGTCTCATCTGGTTCTCTATTGGTTTGTAGGATGACTGTGTGGAACCTGTACATGGCTCCCCGCATCAGCGAGCCAGTCTGGCTTTCCATGATATCCCAAAGTACCGAGCGAAACCTACTGTGCCATCGCTTTCTGAAGGAGATGAGTTTTCTGATGGAGCACGGAGCCAAGAGCCAGTCAGTGGTCTTTAACCTTTCTACTAAACATATTACTTCAAATCTTTAACCTTGTTCTTTTACTAGTACTGTGTAATCAAAGGGATATTTGGAAAATCAATTATTTGTTTCCATCACCATCTCTGATCCTAAGCGTGTCAGGAAACACAATTGGCAAGGTGTGTCTGTGTGGTAGTCGGTCATGAGTGATTTCCTCTTGATTGGCTTATTGTGTTGAGTTCTGGTGGGAACTTTGTGAACTATTCCTTTCATTTTTGTCTAGGTTTCTCTCAGCACTCCTCACTGCTGTTCTTACCCGTCACTTAGCCTGGGTTCCCACGGTGATGCCCAGCAGCTTGCCGCCAATCACACCTGCCTGCCAGAAACCTGCCTCACAGACAGTGGATCTGTTGGCAAAATCTCACCCATACAACCCACTGTGGGCTCAATTAGGTAAAAAGAAATGCACACAAGACTAAATATTTAAATATATAGTATAGTATACTATAATATAAATGTATAAATATATACTCATACAAACATTCATACAAGATTCATGCAGGAATGTTGAGTCTACTGCTCTCTGGACATCACATTAATAGTTTTGAAAATGTACAAAAATCAAGCACAATTAATTTATATCATTCACAGCATAGTTATTTTAACCCTAAACTGTATTCTGGACAAATGTGGGCAAAATAGTTTTGATTTATTTTTAAAAGATACTTCCCTTGATCTGAGCGGTACAAGACTTCTGAACACACAATTTTTTTTGACTCAATTCTACAATGTTAAGTGGGTGGGAAAAAAACCCCTCCATAATCTTGTATTTGGGTCAAAAATGGGCACCCATAGAAATATATGGGAAAAACTGTAATTTAGAGCATTCTAAAATAAGCCAAAATAAGACACCAGGTGACAGGAAAGTCACTTCATCTTTAGGTTTTAGCTCTAAGAACTTACTGAAATGACATTTTAATGTAGTTAAAGAAAATATTTAAATAAATCATAAAAATAAGCATAATTTACATAGAAAGTGTGGTACTTTTTGAAGTAAATAAATTCAATAATACCCCAAAAATAAAAAAAAACACCATAAATGGATAGACAAAACTTTATCGAAGACAGTGATATAACGTTTAGAATAAATAAAAATTAGGATAACACCTGAGTCCTCTGTGCCCACATTTGTCCACAATTACAGGATTAAGGGCTATAAAGTGAATACAGTTTGAGGGCCAAATAGAGTTTCAGCAAATAAATTGTTTTATTAATTAAAGAGAACCTATTGTTGTTGGTTTTTTGGGGGTTTTTTTTTTTTTTTTTTTTTGAATTTCAACTTTATTTAGTGTGTAATCTTGCTGTTGGAGTATGAAAAAGTTACAAAGCACAAAGTCTCTCCAAAAAGAGTTATTCTTTAGTTTTTTTTTTCTGAACTCTCTGAAACCACTCGATTTTAGTCTTGAGTTTCTTCTTTTGAAGATTCCTCATTTAAATAATTCCTGCCCAAGGCATACGCAAAATAAAGAGGTGATGCCTAGTTGAGTTGCATAGTGTTTTGAAACTCGCGGTATGGTAAGGTTACTTTTCCTAAACGTGCTTAAAGCAGTTGACCAACCAAGAGAACATTAAGCTTTTCTAGAAAGAGGGCCTTCATAGAGACTGAAACTAACAGAGCATTACTGACAGACTGGGAAGAGAGGTTCAGCAACAACATAAATGATAGATCCTCTTTAAATAACCATGATGGATGTGAATGAAAATATAATATTGTTCACATTAAATGAAGCATAAATGTGGCAGCAGTGCAAAAACAGATCTATAAAATTCTGATTAGATGAGCCAAGTTTGAAGCGGTTTTAATTTACATCCTTCTCTGCAAATCAGTTAAATTCTGTATAATTTGATATAATTCTATATAAACAATATTGTACATACTTCATGATTCTTATACATCATTAAAACAATTATTATGTACAGAGTCATATACTTAAATGTGTTAAATATTCATTTTTACTATTAAATACTATTACTACTAAATATTCACTTTAACATAGGAGAGACAATGAATCATTTAGCAGAGCTATAGTTTCTTTCTTTGTTGAGGTTCATTTATTTATTATTGTATTTTTTTTTCTTTTAGTATATATATTTTTTTTCCCCCACAAAAAAAATTAGCTTGAGATCAAACAATAATTCAATCCAATAATTCCCTGAAGACTGGTCTTGTATTCTCATTATCATGGTAATTTTTTTACTTAAAATAACTTGATTTATTTAAGCTGTCATATACTAAAGAACATGTCGCTGATCACTTTGCTAGTCCTGCATTTGTTTTCATTTGCAACTATAAAGCTGTTTTGTTACTGTATTATATTATTTGTTTTGTGTTGTTTAGGTGATCTGTATGGTGCATTGGGCTCTCCAGTGAGAGTGTGTCGAACGGTGGTCGTGGGACGCAGGAGGGAGCTGGTACAGCGAGTCTTGTATGTTCTGTCCTACTTCATTCGCTGCTCAGACCTGCAGGAACATGTACAACCTCAAGGACAGATGAACGATCCGGCCAATCCCTGCACCTCTCAAACCACTGATCCCACCTCTGGAAGTGAAAGGATCAATGAAAAAACAGACCCCTTAAAGCCCTCTCTTAGTGTTATTGGAACCAGTGAAAAAGCACTGAACTCTGGCTTGGGCGATGCCATTCCAGGCACCTTTGTAGAACAAAATGATGAAACTATTTTGACTGATACAAAATCAACTAATCCATCCCCCAGTATGGAATCGACCACTGTCAGGCCTGAATGTACAGAAATGGGACAGGAATGTTTGGGAGAAGACAGTGACTCTGTTGGGGGTGGATTAGAGCACATTTTGGCCAATCAGAGTCCTCTTCTGCATAGGGTGCAGTTTCACATTGGCAGCCCCAGGGAGGCAGATAATGACGGACAAGCCAGCGGTCTTACTGGGCTGGGGTGTGGGCGGGGATTGGATAGGAAGTTGCATCAAAGGATTTTGAGTGACATACAAAGGAACGAGAGCTCCGATAGTGCTCTGGGTGACAGTGATGATGAGGAAACATCACCCCGAGAACTATTCGTGGCTACTGAACAAAAGGAGTGCGAGTTACCACTGCCAAAGTAAGTGCAAACTAATCTCACTCTCTTAATTTAGAGGGGTCTTGTCATGATGCAAAACATTGCATTTTACCTTTTGACTGTTGTTGTACTGTGAAAATATACCGTAATACTGTAGGTTTTTTGCAAACTTCAGACAGATAAATGCATTTGACGGTTCATATCTACATCACAGTGTTGCCTATTCAGTGTTCATAAATATGGTCCAACCAAAAAAAACTAGTGATATTGCTCTGCATACATCTGAATAATACCAACAAGAATATCAGCATTTTAAAGGGATTGATCACCCAAAAATGAAAATTACCCCTTGATTTACTCACCTTTTTTATGATGGATGGATGTACTTTTTTGGGCTTCAAATCTGATCCTCCATTCACTGTTATTATAAAAAAAAAACAGTGAAAAAAGAGCTAGGACATTTTTATATGTATAATATATCTCTTATTGTATTCGTCTGAAAGAAGAAAGTCATAAACACCTAGGATGGCTTGAGGGTGAGTAAATCATGAGGGAATTAAATTTTTTGGGTGAACTATCCCAACTATTCCCTTTAAGTTTATTATTAACAAAGTCATTAGTTCAATATGATCTTAATAGTTTGTGTGACACTTTTCTGTTCATTTTTGTACTGGACCTGACATGAAGCCCACAGCTTACAAGTGCAGCATAGTGCTGTATCATTTTACATGCATTGGTAGGAGTCTTTGGCAGAAAAATGAGAAAGAAAATAGTGTTAAAACCCTGAAGTGTATTTTTACTGTTTCTGACAGAAAGAGCATTTTTAGTGGGAATTAAATAAAATCATAACTTTTTTTAAACATGCATTGAAATGTCGAAAAGATTGTTTTATTTGATTTATTTTTAAGTCATATTTTATCTATAATAGTTGTATTAAAAGCAACATGTATTTTTGGCCCACAGCTATCAGTCAGGTTAGATTTTTAGATTTTTGTAGTAAAATGTTTTAGCACATCTGCAAGGCAGGCTGCAATAACCATTTGTGTTTGTTTCTGTATAGTTATCAGGTAGAGAGCCGAGCCAGTGTTAATCATTTTGGGCGTTCTTTGCTGGGTGGTTACTGTCCTCAATACATGCCTGACTTTGCCTTGCATGGCATCAGTTCTGATCTCAGGCTCAAACAGTGCCTTATGGCTGACCTGGAACACACTGTTCTTGTAAGTAGTTACATTTACAGTTATTACTGCATACAGTAAATGTTTCATGTATGTTTACAATCACAATCATTCATTTGACAATTTTTGCTCTATCATTTTATGTCTGTTAGTTTTAATGTTTAGCATGTGTAATTTAGGTTTGGATTTTACCATTGACCAGGCTAATGCCATTAGCTTGACCAGGCTAATGCCTTTTTAATTTTTGACAGAAATGACCGATTTTTCAGCTTTTGAGAAAAAAAAGACACTAACATAAGCTTTGAAAGTTGCTTGTAAAACCCTGTTTACACCAAAAACCAATAACTGTGTGATATCTATATTAGCATCCACACCAGTTGGCGACAACGTTCTTTTTATTATAAGTTAAGCACGACCTGGAGTTTTCTCTCAACAAAACGTTTTGCTGTTTTTATCGTTCATCAGCTGGAAAAAAAACATTCCGAAAGTGATTCCATTGATATCGTTTCTCATTTATTGTTTTAGTTATTGTCCTTGGTGTGTGAACTGGTTTTTAGTCTCTCCCTCACAGCCTTGTTTTCATCCACGTTAAGAGCTGTATGTAAGATTGTGGCCAAAACAGGTACTGCAATCAGTTTCAAAGTACTGTAGAGCGCTGTACCCCCTCCCCCTCCCCATTGACTCAGGGTTGCCAGATAGGCTGCAGGATCCAACATTTTTTTTTAGCCGACACGTTTGTATCTGCAGCTGTGGTAACTAGAGCAGAGCTGCAACACTACTGACTTCGTGATTGGTAGATCGGTGGAGGGTGGAGAATCCGACAAAAACACAACATGACAACATCAACATCAATTGAGGGCTGCAACTTCACTTTTCAAATGACAATATCCTGGCCGGACTGCTGTTGTCAGTGATAAAAGTATTTGAAACGAGTTACGAACAAGATTTCTTAATGTCTAATGACATTTCAGGGCCATTTTATGATTATTTGAAATAAATTTCTTACATACAGCTCCTTTAATATGGCGTGACTAAGGTCTGTACCGTACATTATGAAAAAGTGTGTACCTTTTGTGTGTGTGCAGCATCCGGCGCTGGATGAACCCGTGGCCGAGGCTTTGTGCATTGTGGCAGATACAGACCGACTGAGTGTGCAGGTGATGTCGAGTCAAAGGCGCGTGTGTGAAGGCGGGCGGATGGGCAGGGACGTGATGGTGTCCAACCTCATACACACTCTCATCACATCGGTTCTGCAGCTATATGCGCTCAACATCGCAACCGATTTTGTAAGTCTCCTCAACACACACACACACACACACACACATTTACAGTTTATTACCTGCAGTGTTCAGTATGTTTATCTGCGCTACTGTTCAAGTGTTTGGGGTTAGTAGGATTTTTTTTAAAGAAATTAATACTTTTATAACTCCAAAGATGCATTAAATTGATCTTAAGACTTTTTATACTAATTAAAAACAGTTAAATAAATGCTGTTCTTATGAACTTTCTTATCACAAAAATAATTAGCAGCACAAATCAGCATTTTAGAATGATTTCTGAATGATCGTGTGAGGAGTGGCTGCTGATTTTTACTAAATCTGATATATTGATATGATATACATCAGCCTTGGTGAGCATAAGAGAATTCTTTTAAAAAAATATCTTTAAAAAATCTTACAGACCCCAAACTTTTGATCATTAGTGTAGATTCTGATTTTTATGTGTGTGTTTTTGCAAACATCATCTCAGTGCGTGATGCATCTGGAGGACCGGTTACAGGAGGTGTACTTTAAGAGTCGATCCTTAGCAGAATATCTGAGAGGTCAAACCAGGGTCCATGTAAAAGACCTGGGGCTGGCACTGGGGTAAGATCACACTAACCTACTTATTAGGTGTGTTCATGTCATGCTGTAATTACCGTAATTACCACATTTTAACTTGTAAAAAGCGTTCATGTCCTTGTAGAGCTCTGAATATAGGCTTTTGGAGAGCTCCTACATGTTCCATGTGACCGATGTAACACCTGACTGCTGCAGATTAATTTAAGCATTGATGATTTCCATACAAACACATAATTTCCAGTCCGAGGACGTGAACAGCTCCGAGTAGAATGTCACGTGTTGTCATCTGGAGACTATGGCAATTACGACATGGCTTGAACACAGCAATTGTCACTAATCCTACACTTACGTCATGCATTATGATTTTCTAAATGCAGACAGTGTGAGAATAAAACAGCATAATGTCAAATGTATGAATATATTATTATTTTCCCCCCAGAATTGAGTCGAGTGACATTCCATTGCTTGCAGCAGTGGCCAGCACACACTCGCCCTACGTGGCTCAGATCCTCCTTTAAATAGACCAAATTTCACAAAAAGGACCAATCGGAATGTGTTCCTGTTCTGCATGGACCTGTAAGGATCTAAAGATGACCACACCAATCAAGATGCACTGTGCTCGACAACCATTCGGAGCCTACACCCAGCCTTAAAATACCAATCAGAATGCCTTGTTTGTCCAGCTGACAGTCTGTGTACGTACGTACGAGTGTGCATCTGAATAACTATCTATAGACTGAAACGGGCACCACACAGGGTCACTTATTAATGCTCTCCGATTTTTTTATCTGGTGTCTTTTATGAAAGGAAAGGAAAGGAAAGGAAAGGAAGAGCAAGAATATAGACAAGCATCAATACACTTGATCCTTCCGTACTATGATTGCTACCACTACAGTATATCTGAATGCACAAGAGTGTATTTAGGGGTAGTCCTCCCAAAAAGGAAAATTATTATTATTCTCTCACTTTCATATCATGCCAAACCTGTATGCAAGATATTTTAAAGTACAATGGAAGTCCAGGGAACCAAAACTCTTTGGTTATCCATCAATGTTCTTCAAAATAACTTCTTTGTGTTCAGCAGAAGAAAAGAAGTCTTACAGTCATACATTTTTTTTTTATTATTATTATTATCCGTTATCATAGTTTTTTACTCGGTGTGATCTTGCGTTTTGTTTAATCTGCAATTGAACTATTTTCCATAGTCCATATTCTCCAGAAAACTGTGTGTGTGCCTCAATCTTTGAAAGATGAGAGAATGTTTACATAATGAAAAAGTGGGTGTGATGTTAAATTGTGTTAATTGTAATTACTGGAGAGTCCACAGATTGTGGATTACAGTATTAATTTGGTGCTACTATTGTGTCAAAGGCTTACTAAAGCACACGTTTACGCTCTGTCCTTGAGAATGCTTTATATTTCTTTCAGTGGTGTTTTGCACTGAATGACATAAATGTCACAGCAATAGAACCCTAATAGTAGTTTGTGACATAAGACATTGAAAAAAAACTTTTTTTTATTGTTGTTTATTGTTCCATTTTAAAGAGCTAGAGAAATATGATTATTTTTTATATTTTCACAAAATACTCTACCTCAAATAAAAGATCTGAATGAATGAGTTTGAACAGTCGGTATCAGACATCAAGGATGCAGTGTGCTTTTATCTTCAGTGAGTATACACTTAAACGCTGCATTCTGGATTAAAACATTACATGTGCAAACGTCTTTAGTGAATATCTGTACTGAAAGGAAATGTAAATTTGTCTTGCTTTGTTTACAATAGTGTTGGTGAGGTTGGGACTTTGGACACTAAGGTTTTGCTATACTTTCAGTAGTCTCGTTTTACTTTTGGTCTGTTCCCTGCATGGCGTTTATACTCCAGGTTGAATGTGGTTGAGTATTTTGTCTGTGACAATATGGTGTTGCTAAGAACTGAATTAGTGAATAAACAAATTGCCAGAAATTGAACAACTCTGCATTTTGTAGTTATATCTTCTTTTGCTTGGTCCAGATTAAAATTGTGAATAATGGCAGTCTTTGAACTTATATAGAGATGTTTTAAGTTTTCTTGATATTGTTTTTATATCTTTTAAGTGAACGAATTGTTCTTGTTAATTCACCTGTGCACTAATCTTTCTTGAATTTCTTGAACATGGCAATGACTTCACTATAGGCTATACCAAACAGCTCAGATCTCAATCCAAGAATAGAGGATCCTTTGCTTTGGGATGTAGTGGAACGGGAGATTCACATCATGTATGTGCAGCTGGCAAAGTTTAGCTTGCTATTAAGTTCTTAATTATATACTTCTCAGTTCTTTATGTAAACAATACATTTTGCATGTTATGATAGCCTAAAAAGTCTCAAATGTGAAATTTCAACATCATTCATGAATAATGACACTGACAGTGAGAATTAGGAGTTTATGATTGAATCGGGCACTTCAGTATATGACTGACTGACTTCTGTGGAACAAAGATATTTTTAGAAATGTGTTTTTGTTGGTTACCAACATTCTTCAAAATATCTTCTCGCAGAAAGTCATACAGGTATGAAACTGCAAGAGGGTGAGTAAATGTTGACAGAATTTTCATTTTTGGTAATCTATCCCTTACAAAATTCAGTTTTGTAAACTCTCCAGTACAGTAGGTGGCGCAGTGAGATTTCGTGTGCGCATTCCCAGATGTGAAGACGCGCTTGGACAGCTGATGCGGTATCCCCGTATCCCTGCCCTGACCTGTCTCTATTGTATGTCTAACTCCATAAGCCAATGCTTTGCCTTATTATCATGGGCAGTTTTTGCACGTATTTTTGGATGGTAACAGAGGAGAAACCCGGACTCTCTGAAAACGCATGAGATAGACGTGAAAAGTAAGTGTGTTTCAGGACAATGTGAGGCAACTGAGCTAGCAGCTAACAGAGTTAGCATCTATCCTCCAACATAACTAGCTTAATTTATTACTTGCACCCTTTAAACAATCAGCTGGTGGTATCAATTTGATCGCATCTGAATAGCTTTACTTTTTTTCTGTTGGCACATAAAATGTGTGTTAATAGGGACATCAAGTCAAGCTTAAAAGTCGTTCTTTGTCTTATTTTGCAGTAACGTTAACTTACATGTGGATTTCTTGTGTTAACCTGACTTTATGTTGGAAAAGGATGTAACAGCAGGATAGCAGACAGATTCTGAAAGAGTCTTGTGTTCATTGTTAATGTGATTAATAAGGCGGTCCCATTATTATGTTGTATGATGATGGGTTTAATGTAGATTGACATTGTTCGTTAATTGATTACAAAGAATAACAAAAAAAAAAACCACATACAGTCAGGTTAGACAGTCTCACTCAATTATTTAGTCGTCGTTGTAGCAAATTGTTAAATTAAGTAATTGCTTCATCTGCATCAGACACTTTTACATAATCAAACATGTCTGCTATACACCATCCACAAATTCCTTTTAAAACTGGTTATCATTTACTGTAGGACACTAATCCAGACTGTTATGGTTGTGGTTTTTCTCTTCTCGTTTTTAGGAGAATGAGGAGTGTGGTTAGTTAAACTAAATTAAAATTAACAAAACATTTTGAAAACTGTCTCCACTGTTAAATAACACCCAAGCTAACTTGGATATGAGGTCCAATGTCCAAAATCCTGAACCACACCTTTAAATTGTGGATTTTTTTATTTATTTATTTTTTTTTAACAGTGCGATTCCGTATTAAACGTAATGGTTGGCAAACTTACCTCAACCACCTTTCTGAGCAAATATAATTTAAACGTAACCTATTATTTAATCGAGTTGGAACACCTACATTTAAACTGGTAGTCCACAAAGGCTAATAAAATGTAAAAAAATATCATATGTTGTCCTTTGGCTTAGTGTGCAGCTTCTTAGTGTGCAGCTTCATCAGCTCAGAGACAGAAGAAAATGGTCTATTTTGGCTTAAAATGCACATTTATTTTATAACATTAGTGTTAATTCATGTTTGGTCGGTGTCCTGGATATATAAACAAAAACATGGGTTATATTTTACATTTTATTATGCATCAAATCAAAATGTGCCAAAACAATATAACATATTAAACTTTTAAAACATTACAAAAGTTGATATGTTGCATAAATAGCACTTAAAGCTGCCTGGTTCCAACTCCTGGCCCTTGACTTTGATTTCCAAGCGGGGCTTTTTTTTGTGGAGGTGACTGGTCCACACTTGCATTGTCCTGTTGAAGGAATGTCATGTCAAACTGACCAGATTTAATGAGTGATTCTTAGAGAAAAACTTAATCCATGTTTCTTTCTACAATTTCAATATGAGGGTTCTATAAACTGAAAAGAATATAATACTAGTCATGTATTCAATTATTAAGGAGTTTACATTTTTAAATCTGAAAAAAGGAGGTAACTTACCAATCCTTTTCCAGTTCATCTGGGACCTGAGAGGAATGCTTCTCTTGTCCAGGTGTGAAGTCTTTATCCGATCCGGGCTCCTTGGTTTAGGTTTTAGCTGCACCTTCTTGTTAATATTCACACGGATGTTATTTTGGAGAGGTGGCTGACACATAACTACATTGCCCTGTTGAAGAAACAAATATAATCATGTTGGGCAGGTTTAATGAGTACTTGTTTGACTAAATCTAAACATATCTTTCTAAAGTTTTTAAATAATATATAAAAGGATTTGGATAGAGGACCTTGAAAACATAGAAGCATATTTGAAGTCAATGTTTGTGTTTTTTAAAATAAATAAAAAATAATAAGTAAAATCAAGAGATGGAAGGGACTTACAGATGCTCCCTTTGGGATATTCTGCTCCCTCTGCTTCTGCCTCTGCTGTTTAGGGATCCTGAGGCTTCTTCCCAGTTTGGGGGAGTCTGAAGGCACAAGTGATCACTGTGAGGTCCCTGAATGCACAAGCACACATTTTGGGATCCTTGGGGCCGTATCTTCTTCCTTAGTTCGGAGCCCCAGAGGGCACTACCGCTTCCTGTGGATTCACTTGAGAAGACGGTTGAGGCCTCCTCTGCAGCAGCTCCTGTCTCAAAGGCTCTGGGATTGTTAGCCTTGGCCTCTTTGATAGGTTGTCAGGCAGTGTTCCCTGAAGAGAAGCTTGAGGCTTCAGCTGCAGTGGCTCTCGTCTCAATGGCTCAGGGACCTCTAGTTTTTCCCTCTTTGAGGTCTTGTCGGAATGAAGGCTCCTTGAGGAGAAGCAGCTTGAGGCCTCCTCTGCAGCAGCTCCCGTCTCAGAGGCTCGGGGATTTTTAGCCTTGGCCTCTTTATGTTGTCAGGCAGCTCCCCTCTCAGAGGTTTTGGGGCAGGCAAAGATGGTATCTGTAGACCCAGGGCACAGGTGCTTTCTGTGGGGACTCAACAGCCTCTGGTGCTTCCTGTGTCTTTTTCTGCCTCCACTTTCTCTGCTGCTCTGTGCTTTTAAATGTTGCATTTGAGTTCCGGTCCTTCTCCAATGCATTAGTGATGAACAAGGCTGAGGTGAGGCTCCTCTTCTTAGAGCTGGCATGCACAGGTGCACCCTGTTGGGACTTGGTGGGCACTGGTGCTCCCTGTGTAGACCTGGCAGGCATGGGTGCTCCGTGAGTAGAAGAAGCTTGAGCCCTCTGCTGCTGCAGACGCTCTGCCTAATAGGCTCAGGGATATTTAGCTTTCGTCTAACTGGGACGTTTTCTGGCATGGGTGCTCGATGTGAGAAACATGCAGCCATCGATGCTTCCTGTGGCCTAAAAGTGTGTGTGTTGCACAATTCCTGTCAGATCCAAAATAGAAGGCACAGCACCGTTCTTTAATCTTAATCGGTCTGCAAATCCAGTTTTGTTTACAAAACAATCCTCCGTGAAATGAAGCAAACTGACGGACAATGTTTTACCCTTATCAGCTGGAACGTCATTAAAAATAATATCTAACCATGAATTTCTATTGGAATCCAGAGCACTTTCTTGTGAAGGACTGCATAGTCCTGTTTTATTTACAACTTAAAAGTGTACTGTTGTATTACTGTAAAATGTATTTATAGTGTAGTCTGTATTAGGTTTGCTGCGATAATCGGTGTTGCCAGTGTTTATCATCCTTTTAATTTTTATACTATAGTAATAAAAATCATTTAGCTCAATTAGAGAACAGACACTGCCATTAAAAACTGAATGCATCTGCTCAATTCAGATCAACAGTTGTTGTCAGATTTCACTTAATCACATGACGAGATTGTTGCGATCTTCCTGACAAGACAATGGCGGCAGTAAAATACCTACGGGGACACAGGCATTTATAAATGATTTAAAAGTGAGGTGGAAAGGAGGGAAAATCTCCAACTTCCCCCTCCCTCCCAGTGTTACCAGTGTTGTCACACGTCAATTAACCTGTGGGAAAATGTCCTCTCCGTCACATCCCTATTCTGTATTGTTTAAGCATTAAATAGTTCCTCTTCCTTATCTATTCCTTATTTGTTCTCAGGTCATGGATTTCCCAGGGCACTTTGAGCAGATCTTCCAGCAGTTGAACTACCAACGACTGCATGGACAGCTGTGCGACTGTGTGATCATGGTAGGCAGCCGTCATTTCAAGGCCCACCGCGCCGTGCTTTCCGCCTGCAGTACGCATTTCAGAGCCCTGTTTACTGCTGCCGAGGGAGACGCCAGCACGAGGATGATCCACCTAGACTCCGAGGTGGTGACAGCTGAAGCATTTGCTGCTCTCATGGACATGATGTACACATCCACGCTGATGCTAGGAGAGAGTAACGTTATGGATGTCTTGTTGGCTGCTTCTCATCTGCATCTAAACGCTGTGGTGAAAGCCTGTAAACACTACCTTACGACTCGCACACTGCCCATGTCTCCTCCGGCAGACCGTGGTGGGCAGCATCACGCTGAGCAGCAACAAGCAGCAGCGGCTGCAAACTCTCAGCTCCAGCGCTCATTTCTGCTGCAACAGCTCGGTTTGAGCTTGGTCAGTTCTGCCCTGAGTGGGGCTGAAGATGGGGGAATGGGGACCGGGAGGAGAACGGGATCAGGGTTGGCGGATCAGCATGGTTCTCACCAGACACGGCGTTTCCTGAAGCGCAAACAGCCCATGGCCCTGACCGCTCCTGAGCGGGGGAGGCCGCGCATCTCCTCACAGGTGGGGGTGTCGGAGGGTGGAGAGGAGCTTCTGTCTCCAGATTCCCACAGCAAGATGGTGGATGAGGTCGTCGCTGGGATCATTCCTGGGGATGGTGGAGGTTTACTAGAGCAAGATGAGTACAGAAGGGGACTGAACCATGAAGACATGCAACTTCCTAGCCAGTCAGATGGAGGCAGGGGAGCAGGACCAGAAAAAACTTTGCTGCTGCCGCGTAAGGAGGAGTACCCTGATCCGAGCCATCACCATAGCGAGGGGATAAAGAATGGAGGTGAGGAAGAAGAGGAACAGCAGCACATGCAAGTCGTGGTGAAGAGTGAGCCACTGAGTTCTCCCGAGGCTGTTGATGAGACTAGCGACGTTACCTCTCAGGCTGAAGGGAGTGACCAGGTAAATGCTTTTGATATTATGTTAGTGGGAATGTAATACATTTTGTTACTGGATTTTAGGCACAGATGATTTGTGAATATCCCCTGTGCCTTGTTTTCATTTTAGAAAAGGAATATTCATTGTAGATTTATAAGCATTTTCAAAAAGAATTGTTCATGAAAAACATATATACACTTTCAATCAAAATTTAAGGTCAGTATTTTTTTTTTCTTTACGCACACATTAAATTAATCAAAAGTCAAAGTAAAGATAGTTCTGACAAAAAAAAAACAGCACTATTGTTTTCAGCATTGATTATAAGAAATGTTTCTTAAGCAAATCAGTATATTAGAATGATTTATGAAGGAACATTTCACATTGAAGACTGGATCTGAAAATTTAATTCAGCTTTGCCAGTGCCATCGCAAAAATTAATTGCTTTTAAAATAGAAAACGGTTAAAATAATTTACAAAAAAAAAAAAAAATTACAAAACATTTGTTGTTCGATTTTTCGTGAACAAAATAAGCAAATTGAATCACTTGTTCCATTTAATTCCTGCTTCAAAATATATTGTTGAAACAATTATTGTGATTGACTGTTTATAGCCATTTTAGTAGATATGAGCTTCTATGCATATTGCCTAAAAAAAGAAATAGTTGCCAGGGGTTGTTACCAAGATGGACTTTATAAATATTTTGTAACTACTACTTTGTAAATAAGTATATCAATAAGTAGTTAGTAAGAATGTGATGTTTCTTCAGGTGGAACCAGTTGGAGAAAAGCTGGAGCTGAGTCCGGAGGGCAGTGAGCGGAGCTTCTCTGATCCCCATCCCAGCTCAGAGATACTGATTAAAGGAAACAAAGGAGTAGGAGAAGACCGAGGAAGAAGAGAGGAGCTCACCTGCAGTGAAGCTCTGGAGTCGTCCTCCGGATTGCATATCTCCAGTTTCCTCAGCACAAAGACCTTTACTGGCAGAGGGGCGTCATCTAACCTTACCAATAGTGTTGACAATGTTCCCAACACTACAACTGGAGAGTTTCAAGCAGACCACGATTCTGCTCGCTACTTCCTCCCTACTGATTCCCTCAACACTGCATCATCCTCTCTGCATCTTCTTCCAGGCGAGGCTCAAGTCTGCTCTGACTTGCAGCCAGAGTCCCTCTTTTTGCGGCCAATGCATGATGGAATAGCATCATCCACTTCATTAACTGCGCCCCGTGGTGGATCGGTGGACCAGCTTGCGCTCGAGTTCCAGCGCAACATTTTGGGATTACAGACCTTCCCTCGTTCATCCAGGGGTGGCGGGTGCCACTCGTACCGGCGCATCGCTCCCAAAGTACCGCCAGGAGGGGCTTTAACGCTTACGGATGGTCCTCAGCAACTTGACGTTGCTTCCTCGTCCTCTTCCTCCTCAATGCTTCTCAATGGAGTAAATTTTGAGGGATCTGTCAATGTGGGTCAAAATGGTGGCAGCTCCAACTTGAACCCTCTACCCCAGTTGACAAGAGCCTCTGCAGATGTTCTGTCAAAGTGTAAAAAGGCGCTTTCCGAGCACAACGTGCTAGTGGTGGAAGGCGCCAGGAAGTATGCCTGCAAGATCTGCTGTAAGACGTTCCTCACTCTGACGGACTGCAAAAAACACATCAGAGTTCATACGGGAGAGCGCCCGTATGCCTGTCTGAAATGCGGCAAACGCTTCAGTCAGTCCAGTCACTTGTACAAGCACTCGAAAACAACCTGCTTACGATGGCAGAGCAGTGAAATGTCTAACGCCCTGCTCTAATTCATCACATTTGCACGCACTCCAAAGACGCCATACAAGCATGACCGGCCACCAGTCAGTTTCTCTACTGTATGGGCACCATAATCTTACATCCACCATTATAGTGCGCTTTAGTCACTTAAAAAAAACTATGTTGTATGTATGTTCTTAACATGCTTCCAAATAACATGCCATTGATGGTACAAATTAAATGGATGGCTCACACAAAAATGTTGTTTCTAACCTGACTTTCTTCTGCAGTGTGGTTCGGCAGAAGAAAGCAAGTCGTACAGGTTTGGAACAACATGCTAAATGTTTTGTGTGTACTATCCCTTTAGGTTTCACTGTGAAATGTTTTTAAAAGAATTGTGATGGAGAGGTCTGCTTCAAGCATTGCAAGCTGTTGTCAGACTGAACCTTAGTAGCTGAATCGTGGATCATGATGATCAGAAGCGTTTTGAGTTTCAGTCCCTCTATGAAAGTTTGTGTTGTTTTGTCAGCTGTCTTGTTGAGGTATTTTTGCTTCAGTGTACCTTTAGGCCAGTGGTTCTCAACCAGAAAGCCGAGGGCCCACTAGGTGAACTTCGGGGGAACCCAAAGTCTTTAAATTGTTTAAATTGAGTTACGTTAACATAATATTTACTGTTAAAGATACTTAAACATTAACCTTCATCATATTTTTGACTTTATTTTATTACTTTAGAAGTACATATCAGCTTTAATTGGTGGCCCTGTTGAAAATTGGTAAAAAAGAGAACTGCTGAAGCTCTGTTCCAAAACCAAGTGAGTTGCCTGGCTGTCCACTGCCTTTTAAGGTAGTATCATAACTGAAATGGAAGCTCACATTGGAACATAGGCAGTTGCGTTGTGCACCACACATAATGCTTAACACTACAGAGCTCTTAAGGTAGAGATGAGCAGCTCCGGTCCTGGAGGGCCACTGCCTTGCAGAGTTCAGGTCCATCTCTAATCAAACAAACCTGCCTGCCATTTTCTAGTAATCCTGAAGATTTTGGTTTGTTTTTAAGGTATGTTTGATTGGGATGAAGGAGCTAAACTCTACAGGGAACTGGCTTCTCGGGTCTGCAGTTGCCCATGACATGGTGGTGATGGGAAATTTTTGAGATGGGAGGGCAAAATATTTCATTGCCCTCATTCAACATTTTTCATTCCCTTGCAAACTTACATTTCAATACTTTTGTGTCCACTAAGGCAAAGTTTCTTGGCCAAACAGAAACCTTTTGCAAGAAAAGGCAAAGTTTTAGAACTTAAGACTTTTGCATGGGCTAACGCAAAATCACTGAAATATAATTCCTTCTGCCATTTCAATTTTCCATTAGGGTCTCTGTATAGCTTACAGTTGATTCCAATGGAGTTTGACGTAAAGTCCTTTTTAAGTAAAGTCATTTCACTCTGCGGTTGTATTTGGCAGCTATTTCTGGTGTCCAAGACCAAGTTCTGTCTACTTACATGGAGACCAAGTTCTGTGTACTCAAAACTGCTTGACCCTCTCACAATTCAAATCGCTTATGAGCTGTTCTAATGTTTTATCTTATGCTTAAATAGTTCTAAAGTTTTTTTTTTTTTTTTTTTTTAAAGTTCAGGTTGGTCCAATCACTGCACATGTGCTGTCATAAGCCTGTCTCATGACACTGACTGGACTAAGTCAACTGGAGCTTCTAACAGCATTTGCAGTGATGCGATGGCTTTACCAAATGCTGATTGGCTGGGACTTCCGTCATAATTTGCGTTGCACTTTCTCCCATTCATACTATAGTGCATCATCTTGGTTTGATGTTTAAATGTTGCTAAATAGTATTTTTTCAATATTTTATTCAGTTAGTTAGTTATGCCCTCCACCCCTCCCGGGATATGGGCCGCCGAAAATAGACTTCCAGAGATTTCTGTCCTAGGCCATTTTTTTTAGTTGACTCCAGTTGAAGCCCCTCCTTGTGACATCTGCGTCGAGTTTGCGTCGCCATGTGTTTTTTGGGCAGCCTCGCTTCCGCTTGCCTTGAGGGTTCCACCTGAGAGCCTGCCTGGTGATGTTTGTTGGCAGTTTGCGAAGGGTGAGCTTGTTGCAATGCATTACGGTATTGCCTTGATTGCACGGGATACATGCGATTCAGCTTTAGAATTTGGTCAAAACCATCAGCCTTCACACTGAGAAACTGCCTATAAAGCCTTACAATGCTGTCTAGGTTGTAAGCTTGCTAGATTTTGGAACACAGCTTATATGTAGCAAATGGATTATGAGATGAGGATCCTACCAGAAAACACTAATGGTACACTTTTGCTGTTAAAAGGTCAAATAAAATGCCTTCTATTATAAGGCAACAACAAGTAAGAATGACCATAGGGGGAAATTTGGATGTTCTTATATTGATAACGGCTGTGCATTGTATAGATGGACTTTCAGACTGTTTTGCTTCTGGTAAAGCCAACACTGATGCCTCTGTGGCTGAAACTGCTATTAGAGAATAGTACAGACTGCAATGTTTATGGGTACACACTCTTTCCATGTACACCATGCACATCCTTGGTGATTCAATTCATATTGAAGAATTTGAGCAAAATCAAGTGGTAGTTATTAGTCGGGGTGCCACTTTAGAAAAGGGTATTATTAATTCATGTGCCTCTTTTGACCTTCCAGTGCAGAAGAGAGAATGTTCGTGAAAGAAAAGAACTTTTATGTAAAATTGCACCTTCAGTCTTTAAGGCTTTAATGTTTTATGGTTTGTGGAGTAAGTAATCATATAGAATTTAAAAAATGATGCTGTAAATGAAAATAGATGTTCAGTCATTGTATTAGTGGTTGTTTATGGATTCCCGTTAGTTAATATTATATGATGGTCATGTCTTAGTATTTTGTGTGAAGTGTTGTCTTCTGTCATGTGTTTGATACTGTACTGAGAGTCCTTAAATACTCAAACTAAGTATAATCGTTGAAAAGCTGCTTTTATAAAACATTCCAACCTGTAAATAAGTTATCTTACTGTAGATTTTTAGCATTTTATTTATGCCCTGTAATTGACTAAAGTGATGCCTTTGCTTTCATGGTAAATATTGCACCTATATGAAATCTTGTTTGATTGGATGAACTCAAAAGTTCTAAATATGGAAAATCTTAACCCGGGCCTTTGTCGAAGACTGCACATTAATCTAAAACAAAATGGAGACTTTAAGTCTATAAATTATTGTAATTATTTGTTTGGGGGTTTTTTTACATGAAGGTTAAAACGTGTGTTTATGAAATAGTTCTGTTACAAAACAAAATGTACTTGGGATATCAGAAATTCAAAGCCTGTTTAAAGTAAACTCGATTTACATATTAATCGTCACAAAGCCAATGACCTTATGGATCTACATATCGTGTTAACTGTTACAGAAGTCATATTAATTGAATCACAATGGAAGTAAAACAACTGCCTTGGGATTTCCTTTTTTCTAGAGATGCCAAAAGTAAAGGATTTTATGTGAGTTTGTGTAATTGCTATTAATCACACGTTGTTAGAGCACTCGTTTTTTTCTACTGTTTAAAAAAGAAAGAATTAAATAAATAAAATCAAGAAGAATGCTAGACCTCTTTTTATTAATGTGTTTGTTTTTGTCCGGTTTGAAAAAGACTTGGCTAAACTAGCAATATATTCAAGGGCCTAAAAGACTTGCATGGACCTTCTCAGTTTGCTCTTTGTAGATCATTGATCTCAGACGGTGAACCTTGTCTGTGTACTCACAAACACTGGGCTTTTGATGTCAGAAAACAAATGTTGCTCCAGCATTGTTGTTCTTTTAAAAGAACAACCTAATCTTAAAAGTTAAACCTAGTCTTCATTAAATCTCAAAATGAATTGTGCATTTTTTGTACTGAACCTTAAAGTTGTGACGCCAAAAATTCACTCAACCATTTAAAATAATTACATTTGTTTTATTTTAAATCACTTAATAATATAGAATTTTATTGTAGGCCACTTATCGGTTCTTGGCCTTAATACGAGTTATTTTGTAATTAATTCTTCTTTTTTTGGAGCTGTGGTCACTGTAAACTCTTCTGTATAAAAGAGCTGTGTGAATATTTTTCACAAATTCTCCTTTTCCGTGCCATGGAAATACGACGGCATACAGGTTTGGAACAACAGGAAGGTGAGTAAATAAAGACATAATTTTCATTGTGAAAAGAACTATTCCCTTAACTAGTTCTACAGTTTAAGTTCTTTGGGCATGCGTTCTCCTCTGAGTCCAGCCAGCAGGTTATTGGCAGCAAGAGCAGACATGGAGTTTCGTGTCGTATAGGAAGCACTGGCGATGTGGGGAAGAATGACTGCAGATAAAAAACATAAACAGGATACTTTCAGAGAAAACCTGCATCAGAAACTTCAATAAAATAGATACATACAAGCATGCTTACCACAGTTTTTGAGTGTGAAAAGAGGATGGTGTGTGGGCAGTGGTTCAGGTGTGGTCACATCCAGGCCGGCTCCAGCAATCCGACCGGTGGACAGGGCTTCATACAGATCCTCCTGATTGACCACTCCCCCTCTTTACAATAACAAGGGCCTTGTTGACAACATGTTACCTTGAAGTGAATGCTTAAAATTTCTAAAAACATGAATTGTGATGCTTTTTTTAAGGTTAGTATCCCAAAAGTGACATTGATGTATGTCTTCATACAGGGTGCATTAAAGATGCACATACTGTATGTCCAGCACATTTGCTCAATTTAAAGTCAGCATGAAACAAAAGTTGTGAGTGTTTTCTTCTCTATTGTATAGTAGGCCATGCAAATGCTCACTTTTTAGTGGTATTCTGAAAATATAATGAAATCTAATTCAAGCACTGAACCCTGGGGAACACAGGGGTTCCCCAGGGTTCAGTGCTTGGACCCCTCCTCTTCTCCATTGACACCGCTTAACTGGGACCCATCATCTCTTACCATTGCTATGCTGATGACACCCAGCTCTACCTCTCATTTCAACCAGATGATCCCACAGCAGCTGCACGTATCTCAAGCTGTCTGGCTGATATCTCGGCATGGATGAGGGAACATCACCTGCAGCTCAACCTGGCTAAGACTGAGCTTCTCGTCCTCCCTGCCAATCTGTCTCTACAGCACGACTTCACTATCCAGCTAGATTCTTCCTCAATCACCCCATTAAGGTCGGTCAGAAATCTTGGAGTAATCTTGATGACCAGCTGACCTCCTCAGACTACTCTTATACTACTCTGAGCAATGTTTGAACTTTGTATTTTGGGGTCTTCTTGTGTTGTTATTGCCTCTTCACTATAACTTGTTTGATTTCGTCCTCAGATGTAAGTCGCTTTGGTTTAAAGCGTCTGCTTCATAACTAAATGCAAATGTAATCCAATACTAATAATAGTATATCAATAATATGAAAATAGCACTGGAAAGGATTTAGTGATGGGAAGTTCAGGTCATTTTACTGACTCTTGTTCGATCAAGTCATTTCGTTCATTTAAGTGGCTTTAAATGTTATACTTTTGAACACATCCACCTATGCAATCTTGATCATATTCTAAATATGAAATCATTATAATACATAAAAAATTATTTACAGGGAATATAAATACTTTACCTACCAAGTCTTTCATAAACATCCGAGTGTTAATGAACGGATCGTTCATGAATGACCCATCGCTAGAAAGGGTGTATTAGGATTACCTGCTTGTGTTGATGAAGATGGCGTTTTTCTTCATCTTGGAGAAGAGATTCCAATTGCAAATCCCATGAGTCTCTGGAGTCAGAGCACAGCATATGGCCAGAAAATCAGACTCCTTGGCCAGCTCATCTAAAGAGACTGATCACACACACACAAACAGTTTATTTGTTTGCTACCTAGAAACCCAAACTCACATGAATGTTCTGAGATCTTCCCACCATATTCTGCCTCTATAATATTTGCGAGCTCAGGTCTCGGCTCGACATCTGAGTAGATGAACTTCTTCACCTTAAACGGCTTCAGACGCTCGGCGATAGCCACACCTACACACATATACGGTACACACCACACAACCTCAATTTAAAGGGATAGTTCACCCAAAAATGAAAATTCTGTCAGTATTTACTCACCCTCATGTTGTTCCAACCCCGTAAGACCTTCGTTCATCTTCGGACCACGAATGGAAACGAATAGTTGAAACAAAAAGTGTTCTCGTCGTTTGATAAACTTAAGATTGAGCCACTGAAGTCACTTGGACTATTTTAATGATGTCTTTAATAACTTTTCGAGGCCGGCAAGTTTCAATCCCTCAAGAAGCCTATGGACTAGTATGGAGGAGTGATCCAGCTCTCAGATTTCATCAAAAATATCTTAATTTGTGTTCCGAAGATGAACGAAGGTCTTATGGGGTTTGAACAACATGAGGGTGATTTCAAATTTTTTTTTTTTTTTTGGTGAACTATCCCTTTAGCCATCACCCTCAACTAATAAATGAAAATTGTATATAGTCATAAGGCAACCTTATTCCTCCTTACCAATCCTCCCAAGTCCCAAAATGCCAACTGTGCTGTTTGCTAGTTCATGACCGCACAGCCATAAAGTTCTCCAAGTTCCCCAGCCACCCCTAAACACAAGTATAAATCAGTATAAGTGCATGATTGACAAGCAAATGTGTGTGTGCTGTTAGTTTTAATACGTTTTAGCCTCATGTGTGGCCTCAATGAGTCTTCTGGATGTAGTGAGTAACAGGGCGACAGTCAATTCAGCCACAGCGTCAGTCAGTACCTCAGGAGTATATCCCACACGGATTCCCCTGGAAACACACAAGCCTATGTAAACAATGCACACTTCAAGAAATTCAACCCTAAATTTTACCTGCACAAGTTAACTGACCTTTTCTTGAGTTCATCCAGAGAAAGATGATCAAAGCCCACAGACATGGTGCTCAGGACTTTTAGATTTGGGCCTGCATTATTGAGACACACACACATGTCACTGAATTTGTCTGCTTTTGTTTCAACCTAATGATCATGCATTGCAAGCTAACCTGCAGCGTCCAATAGGTGTGCGTCAATCTTCTCTGTGAGTACACACAGTATTCCATCGCAACCTTTGACCTTTTTCAGCAGCTCCACTCGGGGCACAGGGTCATCAGAGTCCCACATCTCAAACTGCACCCTATATTGTGTGGGTAGAATTTAGAGAAGGTTATGATCGGTGAGAAAGTAAGAAGAGAGAGAGAAGTTCAATGATTTGCATATTTGGCTCCATTAAATCTCCATAAATTGATCAAAACAGTTCATTGTGGCTGCCCACAAATTCTCAAATCAAAGTTAAACAGACTGAAATGACAGATTGTTAAAATACACTTTTTTTGTTTTCTTGACTCATGATATTTGTTTTCTTGATTGTTTTAAAATCTGTATAGAAATGAGACCCAGGTGACTAATGTTCAGAATTAGAATGCTCAGCCAGTCTGTCAAAAGTTTTTTATTAACTTTTTCTCCCTCGGTTATCTTCAACTGAGCAGAGGTCCCAGTTGCCACATGTTAAACAAGCCTTTGGTTGGGAAATTATGTACCTTATTACTGCTTTAGTAGGCTAAACTTGGCTGTGTCCGTGTTACATTTAGGGCCTATACACATAATGAATGAGTAATGAATGATTTTAGGGTACAACTTTTTATTCAAGATGATCACTAGGTTTTCAGTAACTTTGAATGAATAGTAGGTTTAGGGTGTGAAAAGCACCACTCAAAAACACTGAAGTTGAGATTTCGTGGGGAAAAGGGTCCATTTTCTAGTCATTAGTTTAGCGATATAAGAACAACAGCTCACACATAAGTCACTATCAAAACAAGTAGATTTCTGTTGGACCAACTTGAAACAGAGTGGCATTGTGAATTCGATTTCAAAGTCAAACACGAAAAACAATGTTAAAGTGTGATACGCACCAAACGATAACAGTGGAGTTAAAAAAACCCAAAAAAAAACAAACAAACAGATTTTATATGTGTTGGCTGACTGCTTCAACTTACTGTCCGGATTTGCGGAGAATTTCCAGTCCGGCAGGCGGCACCTTGCGCGTCACATAAACTTTGGGTAACATGGACATCGCGCGATGAAATCCTGTGACGGTACACGGGGTGATCTTCTGCAGTCTCCCGAGCGCTGTTCTACTGCACCACATTACGAACAATATAGCAATCAATTGCAGAGATCTTTGGTATAGTATGACAGAAGATGGAAGCGGCAGCAAGTGCAGTGTGTGGACAGTTTAGGGCAGGCAACCAATGGATCATCTCTCTCTCTCTCTCTCTCTCTCTCTCTCTCTCTCTCTCTCTCTCTCTCTCTCTCTCTCTCTCTCTCTCTATGTGTGTGTGGGTTGCCCCTCTCTCTCAATGTTCGATAATTTTCGTATTTGTTCGATAATCTTGACCCCCATCACAGATAGCACATGTAGCCTATGTCTACAAGATGTCTGTTAAAGATCACTTAAAGAACATCTTAAAGACATCGTCTAAACGTCTATTTGACATCTAACAGGAAACGTCCTATAGATGTTATCGAGACCTCCTAGCGGCGTTATTGAGATATATTTATAGCACAAACACAAGTACATACAAGTTTCTACAAGTTTGCAACTTTTAAAACATTTCTCTCTGTGACTTCAAAATTACATGTGTGGCTATTCTCTACAACTACGAAGTTCAGTAGTTTTGCACCAAAAATATCTTCATACCCCTCAACAATCCAGTCAACTGCCTCCCCCAAACCACACACCCCTATCCCCCTTCTCCCCAACACTGACAACACTGCTCTGTCTGTTTCTCTCCACACAACATGACCCAAGGGGAGCAAATGTAAGATATGTTTTTTGTTTGTTACGTTGTTTGTTACATTCCAAAGTACCATATCACTAGCACATTGAATGTTTCTCAATTTCTGGCATGATGACTATTGATTTTATTACAGTCAATCATTTATCAGGGTCTCGAGCAAATAATGGGCAAATGTAGGCCCTTGAAAAGCAATGAATGTTGAGAATGTTGGTTCAGGTTTGATAAGTCAGCACAAACAACTTTTTGTGTCTCGTGCTGAAACACTATGCTGAGTATGAATGAATGCACATCAAACATGCCAACTATATGCCCTGTTTCACAGAATCATCTGACCACCAAGATATTTAAAGAAGTTTTTTGCAAAATGTAAGGTGAATATTTAATCAGAATATGGAGCTGATATTTTATATTTATTATTATAAAAAAATATCTCTGTAGTCCTTAAGTTATATGTATTAGGCCTATTGTTGTTGTTGCTGTGTACTGAAAGCATATTTTGTCAAGAAGACAAATTCTTTTTATGTGTGTATGGTGTGTAACGTTATACTTGTCAATAAATGATTCTGAGTAACCCATTCTAGGTGGCGGTAGATAGTTTCCCCACCACGAAACCCCAGCGCGCATGCGCAGTAGAAGAAGTGTGCTGATCGTTCCTAGCGCACATTGACAGGTAGCTAATACACAGCTCTCTCTCTTTCTATGCTACAGACCTTACTTTAAACCACGACTTACTGAAATCAAGTAATCACAGTCGTAAAGGCGCATTTGGCTGAGTCGTGCCTGCAGATTTGATTGATTTGTTTATAGTTAAGTTAAACAGAGAAGCAAATTTTATGAGCATCTCAGTTAGCCGATGTGCTAATGATACATAACAGTTAGATATGAGGAAGCAATATGATGATGAACTAATGATTTTATTACATGTTTAATGATCTACAATTAAATATGAAATGTTTTTGTGATGATGTGATTTATATGGTTGTTCAGGTCTTTATTTAGAGCCTGTCGTCTTTATATGGGGGATATACACGTTATATCTGTAATTTCGTGTGCCATTGTTCAAATTGATTGTTTTTTTGTTTTTTTTAAAGAAAGTCATAATGTGTGGATTATTTCCTAAATGTATGTATATAATGTGAAGCATGACATGACAAGCGTAAAACCGAACTGGCACTGCAGGTAGAATTAATTGTCGAGTCATTCAGAGCTAAAATGCTCAAGGAAAACCGTGACACATATGGGGATTTTAAAATCATGTTATCTAACGGCTGGAAAAGTTATGGAAATGATTACAGTTATGGTTTCCGTTGTGAGTATATATTTTTTAAAATGTGCTATTAAGCTATAGAGATTTGGCCATGAGTTGTTGCTTAGAGTCGGTTCTTTTGAATGAATCAGTCGAACCAGTTTACAGAGTGGTTTGCCAGTCCTCCTAAGGTGCTCGTGAGCAGGTCATGTTGATGTAGGGCTACTGTAGATAATACCTGTCAAAAGGGTCTAAAAAGTAACATGCCTGACATATCCATATTTTTGAAAAAAAGAGGTTTGCAGCTGTAAACTTCAATTGTCAGCGCTGAATAGATTCTCTTTATCTCTCCTACAGACTCTTACAGAGGAACATCTGGACACCCCCTCTCCCCTTCCCACTATGGCCGACTCCATGGATATAGATGATTCTCTGTACAGGTATGCTGTAAATACTGAAGCTGAAACACTCTGGCCCTGTTTACACCTGGTATTAAAGGGGTCCTCCACTTTCAGAGGTAGTCGAAAATGTATTCGACCAGATTGCTTTCGTAGTGTAAACAGGAATGTGTCTCCCTTGTCTACTTGAGATCCATTCGAAAAACACATCTTAATGCCAGGTGTAAACAGGGCCACTGAGACAGGCTTTGCTTTCTGTCATGTATAAAGTCTGATTAGTTAGTGCCCCTATTATTGATTTTTAAAAATTTCATGCAGTGTGTGACTGAATGTAAACAGTCTGCAAAGTTGTAAAGCTGAAAGGGCATCTTAAACAAAGTTAGTTTATCTAAAAAAGAAGAGTCGACTCTGAACCGCTCAAACGAGTCGTTTAGAGTTCGAATCTATTTTCGCAAAGTTCATACGTCACAACTTACTACATTTGCATAATGCCCGCCTATGTTCTGCGTGGACAGGACATCTTGCTTGTTCATGTGGATATCATGTCGTCAAGACGCTGTGCTCTCTGCTGTGAAAGTAAATTGGGTTTATTTTCACTTCCAAAGAATGAGGCTGTGAAGAATCTGGTTAAAATTCATCTTTATCTCGATACCACAGCAGTATAATCGCAAACTTTTGCCTCGTTCCCTTCATTTTACTGACCTGCTTCTCAAATCTCGGAATTCAATGCAGGTTTCGCAAAACACTTGCTGTAGATGGGTTAGTAGCCTACCCAGTTTATTTGGACTAACTTGCTCCTCAGAATCACACCATGTAAGAATGTCTAATTACTGGTATATATTTTCTACCGGTGTTTAAAATATTTAGTATTTTGTGTTTTATATTGTGTAGGTCTCCTGCTAACTGGCTAACTCATGTTATTACTGTTTTACTGAAATACGTCTGCTAATCAGATGTGACCCACTATTACATAAAACTGTCTATTAATGCAGATCGTCTGTCGTTCTTACTACTTTGAGTAAAGATAAAGGATGGAGCAAGATGTGTTTTACCAACGTTTATGTTACATCAGTCATTCACGTTAGAGTTGGCTAATGTATGCTCTAGCCTGTTATTGATACAGTTTCCACATGTTCACCGCAATAAATTAGAAAAATACACATCAGGTAATGCTGATGGTGAGGAATTACATCTGCAACCTCTCACAATGTACTCCGAGTAGTGCATCACTGAGAAACGTCCTGCTCAAGTCTTCCTTGCGATAGAGGTTCGGGTTTAATGACTAGTTCTTCCAATGTTTCATCATCGGACTAGCGCTCAGATTTATATGGTATAATCAATGTCAGAATTCGTTACTGTCTTTAGTTTATGGTGTGCAATCGCTGAGCTGCTGGATGCCTCTGGATAGAGCT